ATGAACGTAACTAAGAAAAGAGCGGGTAGCAGCGTCAATCAATTCACTACTTCTATCAAAATGGCTAGGCTTCAGTGCAACTCGATTGTGTCTTTGAAAGAAGTTCCTTTTTGTCGGCGAACAAATGAAGATAAATTGGCAACGAAACAATTAGGACCTCCCAGACCAAATTTAATAATTCAACAGGTTTCTACTAAAGGGGGGAAGTCCTACACCCGAGGATTTTCCAAAAATTGGTACGAACGAAAAACCTGGCTAGCAGGCTGCGATGTAGCTAATGCAGTCTTCTGCTACCCCCTGCTTACTCTTTCACCCTGAAGGCGGCACGGCAGACAGCACCGCTTGGACAGCGACTGGTGTGTAACGGACATGCACCATCTTTCAGGAAAGATTAAGAAACATGAGCTGTCAAAGACCCACATGGATAGCTGTTTGAGATTGTCTGCTTTGGGGAGAGTGAACATTCCCACTCAACTGGATGAGGGATACAGGCTAGCTGTCCGCCGCCACAACGATGAGGTTAGTGTTGATAATCACAAGTTTACTGGAGAACTGAAACTGACAAGGCTGACAAGATAGGACCCTTTTGTCCATTGTTATTGGATAGGAACAGAACTTATAACCAGCTCCTGACCTAAATAGATCTTAGCACAACATTTTACTCAACATATCATATTCCATATTCACTATAACAAATATATTTACTACGACATTAGCAAGAACCGCCACATCCTCAGCCGGCTAATCCAGTGTGTGAAGTTTTGCGGAGTGTTTGAGTTAGCTTTGCGAGGCAAAGATGAAACTGAGGGCTCCACCAACCCTGGTAAGCCAACACTTTTGAGATCAGTCAATAAATGCTTCTGGTATTGACTTATATGCTGCCCCTGTCTTCATGTTGTTGCTGGACATATCTTTTTTAAAATGTGTGTAGGTCACCTAAATCATCAGAAAAATTGCCCCCCCTGAGAATTTTTTCAGGAGCCGCCACTGGTCACAGACACTGATAAGACAAATCAATGTGCTAAACAGGTCTATAAGAATGCATAAATAAACTGAGATGTCAGTATATTTTCTATTCACAAAGCATAAGCCACTGATTGGCATAAGCCACTGACAGCATCCCCATGCTGTTAAAAGATGTAGCAAATCAAGCACCTCTGAGATAGAAGTCATAGGCATGTCATTATTTGTATGCATGCCGACTCTGTAAGTGACAGTAACGCCAGTGTGACTATAGAATTGCTATGACAGGTTCATATACCTCTGCCACTCGCGACTATTCTCCTTTACCATTATAAAATGCAAATGTTATATCATCCCTTCTGTAAGAATATCCACTTTCCAATGCATTGCTGAGCCTCTCTCTCACAGCAGCAGCATACCACTCCAAGCTTTTCCATGGCTGTTGTAGCCGTTTCCTCTCCTGATAAGGGAATTAATTTAGTTAGAGAAATAAGGAGGCAGGGGGAGAGGTGCTGACACATATTGGATTACGGTTTAGTTGTCAAAATGATTATATAAAGCAAAGGGAAGAGGGGGAACAATGTTCTCTGACTAGCTATTGTTGGTGAAAACGGCTTAAACATTTTATGACACTCTGGTTCCTCCTCATTTAATTTGTGAGGGACAATGACTGACCAAACACTGTGGCTTTGCAAGTTAACTGGGGTTTGGTTGCTCCTTAGTTGCTTAATTCTATTCAGGGGTAGATAGAGACAGTGAATGGTCTTCCTATTAATTGCAGTAGTGTGTATTGAATACATACATTATTGAATCCCTTGAGTTCCATCCAGCATGGTCATATTGCGTAACATACCTTTCCTCTAATATACAGTACCAGTCAAAAGTTTGGACACACCTACTCATTCAAGGGTTTTTCTTTATTTTTACTATTTTCTACATTGTAGAATAATAGTGAAGACATCAAAACTATGAAAGAACACATATGGAATCATGTAGCAACCAAAAAAGTGTTAAACAAATCAAATAATGTTATATTTGAAATTCTTCAAATAGCTACCCTTTGCCTTGATAACAGCTGTGCACACTCTTGGCATTCTCTCAACCAGCTTCACCTGGAATGCTTTTCCAACAGTCTTGAAGGAGTTCCCACATATGCTTAGCACTTGTTGGCTGTTTTTCCTTCACTCTGCCGTCCGACTAATCCCAAACCATCTCAATTGGGTTGAGGTCGGGGGATTGTGGAGGCCAGGTCATCTGATGCAGCACTCCATCACTCTCCTTCTTGGTCAAATAGCCCTTACACAGCCTGGAGGTGTTTTGGGTCATTGTCCTGTTGAAAAACAAATAATAGCCCAAACCAGATGGGATGGTGTATCGCTGCAGAATGCTGTGGTAGCCATGCTGGTTAAGTGTGCCTTTAATTCTAAATAAATCACAGACAGTGTCACCAGCAAAGCACCCCCACACCATATCCCCTCCTCCTCCAAGCTTTACGGTGGGAACTACACATGTGGAGATAATCCGTTCACCCACACCGCGTCTCACAAAGACACGGATGTTGGAACCAAAAATCTCAAATTTGGACTCTAGACCAAAGGACAAATTTCCACCTGTCTAATGTCCATTGCGCGTGTTTCTTGGCCCAAGCAAGTCCCTTCATCTTATTGGTGTCCTTTAGTAGTGTTTTCTTTGCAGCAATTCGACCATGAACACCTGATTCACACAGTCCCCTCTGAACAGTTGATGTTGAGATGTGTCTGTGACTTGAACTCTGTGAAGCATTTATTTGGGCTGCAATTTCTGAGGCTGGTAACTCTAATGAACTTATCCTCTGCAGCAGAGGTAACTCTGGGTCTTCCATTCCTGTGGTGGTCCTCATGAGAGCCAGTTTCATCATAGCACTTGATGGTTTTTGCGACTGCACTTGAAGAAACTTTCAAAGTTCTTGAAATGTTCCGTATTGACTGACCTGTCTTAAAGTAATGATGGACTGTCGTTTCTCTTTGCTTATTTGAGCTGTTCTTGCCATAATATGGACTTGGTATTTTACCAAATAGGGCTATCTTCTGTATACCACCCCTACCTTGTCACAACACAACTGATTGGCTCAAACGCATTAAGAAGGAAATAAATTCCACAAATTAACTTTTAACAAGGCACACCTGTTAATTGAAATGCATTCCAGGTGACTACCTCATGAAGCTGGTTGAGAGAATGCCAAGTGTGCAAAGCTGTCATCAAGGCAAAGGGTGGCTATTTGAAGAATCTCAAATATTACATATATTTGGATTTGTTTAACACTTTTTTGGTTACTACATGATTCCATATTTTTACATTACATTACATTTTAGTCATTTAGCATTCATTTTTCATACTGATGTGTGAGAAATGCCAATATCGGTCAAATGACTTGAATGAGACTTGTGCCACAAATGCCAAAACGCTACCATGTGACAACAGTGCAAGGGAAACCAAACCAAAGCATGTTGTTGTCATACCTTGTCCATAGACTGGCTTACAGGGTAAGGAAACCAATGTCATTGCAATTTGGGTGAACTAACTGGCCAAGAAATACACCCATGCTAATGTAAAGCTTATGGGAGGGATCAGAACAAATGAATTTACAGCCAGAATTCCAGACTCCTAAAAGATGTTGAGCAGATCGTGGTCCTGGGGAAGAATAGCAACACACACACAGAGATCCGCTCAACTGAGTCTCCTACACAGACACCGTCACTAACAGCAGACTCTTGAGACCGTAACAACTGGCTCTGCTCGATAGCACATTTTCACCCTTCATATAATATAGAAATGTGTTTAGATATATTTATATTCAGAGAGATGTATCCCGTTCTCAGTTTATTGTCGATTCATTTAGTTTGTTCCTAAAACTGACAATTTTGGTCACACAGAAGGAATCTCTGCAGCACTTAGACAGAAAACGACAGGAACCACAGATAAAAAATCGTCATTATTATATCTGCGTCAATAGAGGAATCATGACACTAACCATATGTGTTATTACATAGTTTTGATGTCTTCACTATTACTCTACAATGTAAAAAATAGTAAATATAAAGAAAAACCCTTGAATGAGTAGGTGTGTCAAAACCTTTGACTGGTAGTGTAATATAGGACATGCTTTATTTTTTATATCATAGGCAGCTTTTGAAGAGCAAGTTTACATATTGCATGTAATAAAAAGCTATTTCTGTTTTCCTTTTTGTTGAATATCACTTGTATCCATTTTCACAGGAAGGGATAGCATACATTATTAATGTTGGCATCATTCATCGATGAACAGGAAGGTATCCCTATCCTATAACACCTCAACTGGAGGAAAATGCCACTAGAATACCTGCTGTCACTCACTTCCCAGGCCTTGCCATTGACCAATGTGATGATTGGTCAATACAGACCCATGTATCTGCCGGGATAACATCTACTTACAAGGAGGTCTTGGTACCATGCCACTACATTGCCGAAAATTGTCCCATGCTTTATCTTTTCTGATCCCTGTCACCTATGAGAATGTGAAACCTAGCTGAGAATTGTGATGATGGTGAGTTGGCCATGTAACTGTTGACAGGAGGATTAACATAGAGTTACACAACAGATCTCAATGATGAACCCATGACTCAGTAGGGTCCAGGCTATTGGCTTTCTTAATCCATATCACTATAGCCGGTGGATGGTGGTTTACTACTCCTAAAACCTTGGAAGAATGTGTGAGTGAGAACAAAGAGGTATGAGAGAGTCAGTCATTTGATACCTTGGTCTGTGTGATCCCAAAAACCCACAAACAATGTGTTGAGAGTTAATTCCATGGGATTAGGTATCCTCAATATGCAGTGACAGTACAAAAATGTAAAAATAGTTTACATCAAGTGAATATACATACAGTATGTACAATAATATCTTAGATAAAAGTGTGATACATTTCATGTCATGAAAAGCATGTTGTGTAGCATAATTGGCAATGATACACTAATGTAACAGCAAAATCCAGCATGTCTTGTTTGGACCCCATACGACAATCACACCGTAGTCACTCTTCTAACGTTCTTGGAGCCATCTCCACTGTGGTCAGTTGGGACATTACTCTGACTAGTGTTTAGCGAGAAGTTACTGGAAGAGACAACATCTGGGATCTGGAATATAGAACAAAAGGTGAATATTTTGTGACAGTTGAACTTCTGACCTTGTGTAAAGCTACTTGAAGAACAAGGCAAGGAGAGTGTGGTTGCCATATCGTTCTCCCATCACCATTACTGATCATGCAACAACTCTGAACATTCCTTTGATCAATATTCCAATCAGTTACTGGTGTTATTTCTTAACAATCTTTATAAAAGCATCTAAGAAGCTCCATTAGCTCATCAACATTGATGAACTAATATACAATATATTATTGACAACTAACTTTAATCTATATATCCAGCAAATCACATTTTGAACAGTCAGTTGGTTAGACTGTTATCATATACAGTACAGTAGGTTCATTATGAGTGAATCATGGGCCCTGGTCAAAACTAGTGCACTCTAGAGTGAATAGGATGCCATTTCGATTGCAGCCATTGAAAGTTAGCTGTCCCCCGGCCAGGGGAGGATCCCTGCTGTCCCCGTCAATGTGAGAGCCTGGGAGGTGTCAGGGGCTCCGGCTGCAGTATGGAGACTGACTCTGCATTATTCAGCTGCGGTAAGTTGCTCTCTCTCTCTCTCCTTACCTTGTGAGCTCTGATGGACCTCATCTGGCTGTGGGTTCCCCCAGTGACGATGAGGTCACTGCGGCCAGCGTCTGTCGAGTGAGAACAGGCGTTTACCTGACCTGACATCCCCTCTGACCATTTCACTGTACCACACTGTATGCTCAGGGGAAGTATAGTACAGCGGCTCCAACATAGAACATGGCATTATGATTACATCATTGTCAATTATAGCCTCTAATGCTGTTAGTAGCCTATAATACTAAAAAATACTAAATTCTAAAAATAACAGATAAAATACAATAGCCTATCCATTCTGATTTTCTATGCTTACCTACCACACTAATCTCATTAGATGTTGAAGATAATGTGTCCTAATGAGGAGAAGGGGTATTTGTCACCCTGACTCTCACCTGAGTGGCCCTCTGTTGTGTATCCCAGGTTGACCTTCCCTCCTGTTGCCTCGGCAATAGAGCTTCTCCCGCTCTCTGATTCGTCTATCCTGTGGAAACCCAGAGGAAAAGCCCAATGGAAAATATGACCTATTCCTACAGATGTAGGATCTTAATTTGAGCCAGTTTCCTACAGCAGGAAAATGGTGCAACCTTGAAAGAAGCAACAGTTTTGTGAGCTTTATGTTGGTCCTATCAATTGTCTTGTCTTGTGACTGCAGTGTACAGGCTTTAGTGTTTTTTCCCCAATGTAATGCGCTGATACCTATGAAAAAAAAAGAGCCATATCATTATTCAATTTATTTAGACTTAACCACTCTTAAGTCAGCGTGTTCACTGCTTCAATAGTGGAATGGTATCATTAGGGACATTAAAACTGCTGACAAATGGTATAAAACGTTATCTACTAGCTATGTTTGACCCTGCCTAGAGAATGCAGCACCAGCTTGGCACAGCTCCTTGACTCAAGCCCTCTCTGACCAATACAGAAGCATACTTGCAGAATCATCCTTGGCACGGCATATCCTGGATACAACAATGCTCTGACGTCACTATCACTGCCCTCACTTCATGAGAAAAGAGAGAAACTGTGCCTTTGCTTCAAGTCCCCCTTCAGAGACTGGTTACCTGCCTGCCGAGGACAAGTGTCAGGCAGCTCCATTCGCAGTACACACCTGCTTTCAATTCAACAGGCCAGGACTGAGAGATATAAAAAGTCGCCCATTCTATACCTATGCAAATTATTTTGAGTCTCCTGACTGTACATACTGTCATGAATTTCACTTGTGATTTCAACTTGAAAGTGTTATTGTGTATGTATTGTAATATCCATGTATTTCTGTTTAATTGACTGCATTGACTGCCATGTGTATATTTTTGAGTAAACTAGAGTTTCAATCTTAAAGTGGATGTTATAATCTAATAACCATCTAATGTTCCAAATAATTATTCTAAATTCTTTATTTTAATTAACTATAAAATCCCAGTCTCTTCTCAGACACAAGGCAGACTCAGAGCCATATAAATACATGCCTTTGGGTTGACTTATTTACTAAGATTTATGCTGAGACCCAGCAGTAACTTGTGTAAAGGACTAATGGAATTTTGAATCAATAGGATGAGACTGTATTAGTTCCCTCTCACAAATGTTTTCCATAAATGGTTTTATGGATGGTTAGTCACATCCTCTAAAGTAGCCACATTTGATCCTGTATTTTAATTTGTCAGCTCTCGCCAATAAAAGAAACACCAAGGTCTGTACCTTTTCAAACATTGTATAATCCCACATTAACAAGCAGGTTGAGAGGTTAGAAAGAACGGCACAAAGAGCATCAAACACTCACCTTATTGCCTCCGGTTGGCTTGATTCTGAAAGACAACCAAATACAGAAAAATACAACAGTCATGATCTTATGTGATCTTACATTATGGCTATCATCCAGGATTTTCACTGTCTCAATGCTCAATCTGGACCAATACAGTAATCCTGACCTTGCTTGTGGTTGCATAGACCACAGCATCATTTAGTTTGCTCAGTGTCTGAAGCTCCAAAATACATTCTTAGAAAAAAGGGTTCCAAAAGGGTTCTTCAGCTGTCCCTATATGAGAACCCTTTTTGGTTCCAGGTAAAACCCTTTTTAGTTTCAGGTAGAACCCTTTTGGGTTCCATGAAGAAAGGGTTCTATCTGCAACCAAAAAGGGTTCTTCAAAGGGTTCTTCTATAGGGACAGCCGAAGAACCCTTTAAGGTTCTAGATGGCACCTTTTTTTCTAAGAGTGTATGTATGACAGCTGTAAATGCAGCGTTCACTCGTTTTGGGCCAGCACACACTCACTGTAGCCTGAGGTCACTTTAGAAATGTTAGAATGAAAGCCTGAGCTTATTGTTAATGAATATTATTACACAACATCATTATCTTTCTTAGCCCAAGGCCCTGGCCAGAGCCAAAACTATTCTATAACAATGGTGGTACAGATGGTGCCGGCCCAGGAGAAGGATAAACCAGACTCTTTTACATTTACATTTACGTCATTTAGCAGATGCTCTTATCCAGAGCGACTTACAAATTGGTGCATTCAACTTATGATAGCCAGTGGGACAACCATTTCTTTTTTTTTCTTCTTTTTTTTTTTAATGGGGGGGGGGATTACTTTTATACTATTCCAGGTATTCCTTAAAGAGGTAGGGTTTCAAGTGTCTCCGGAAGGTGGTCAGTGACTCCGCTGTCCTGGCATCGTGGGGGAGCTTGTTCCACCATTGGGGTGCCAGAGCAGCAAATAGCTTTGACTGGGCTGAGCGGGAACTGTGCTTCCGTAGAGGTAGGGGGGCTAGCAGGCCAGAGGTGGATGAACGTAGTGCCCTTGTTTGGGTGTAGGGTCTGATCAGAGCCTGAAGGTAAGGAGGTGTTCCCCTCACAGCTCCGTAGGCAAGCACCATGGTCTTGTAGTAGATGCGAGCCTCAACTGGAAGCCAGTGGAGTGTGCGGAGGAGCGGGGTGACATGAGAGAACTTGGGAAGGTTGAACACCAGACGGGCTCCTCCTGGTTTTACAGGAGGAGAAATTGCCTCTGTCTTTATGTTTTATGTTAAACCCATACTGTCCAAAGTTATTAAGGTGAATATATTTCATCCCCATTCTGTTCAAATAATTGCAATGCACACATAACTCTTTAGTGTGTTGGATTAGCTCACAGAGAGCAGGACTGACTTGGAACCATACCATTTTCTTAAATGTGAAAAATCCTGATTATGTTGATTTGACGCTTTGCTTCCTGGGATTTACAATAAGGAAAGCGGGGGGAAAGGAACTGGACAAAATAAAGGACAGTGAAAAAGATACCAGACTATTGGGTGAATACTGTAAATGTACTAAAGAGGGCACACCTGCCTTATTAAGATAATCCTACAGCTCCCAAATAATGGCCCTTATTTGCACTAATCTGAATCAGTCACAGGGATTAGAGCAGTCTAATGTATGACTCAGGGGCAGGTTTTGTTATCACACACAAACAGCCAGACGGCTGCCTCGTCGCCCACAACAACGATCCCCTCTGAGATGGCTCTCCAAAAACTCCTCACCAACCATCTCTACTCCTAAAGCCGCCAAAGACTCACAAAACCTTCTATTCACTGGCTGCTGGTAACCCAGTAAGACATTAATTCCAGGAGTAGGAAGTTGAAGATTTTTTGGGGTCACTTCAGAGACATGTTTGTGGATTGTGGCCCCTATTAGAGTCATTTTGAATTGGTCTTGGTATATGTAACACCAGATCATAAGACTGTTTGATGATTGACATAACTCTCAGATTATTCAACCTAGCAAATGGAAAATAAACAATATGATAGGCTAACTCCTGCTTAATGTAATTCTCACCCATATTCATGAGTCTGTCTACCTGTGTTCCTTACTTAGTGACAGAATAACTGCATTTCCATAGAGTGACCACCAGGAGGTGCTCTGTCCAGTGTGTCTCTCCTGGACAACTGTCTCTCCATGGTGGTGCTCCTGTGTTTTATGGACAGGTGGGAGGTTAGGCCAAAGCCAGCACTTTAGAACTGGAGTATTCTGCTGACAGTTGAAGTTCTGTATGCATTCAAAAACCCATGCCCTTGCCGATGCAGGCGTGGGGCACACTGCAGAATCACTGCGTGTGACAGCCTAACTCCTTCATTATACTTTAATCATTATTCTCGTGAGGGCGGGGGGGTGGACATTTTTCACTGAGACATATAAAAAGAAAAGAAAGGTGCTTACTTGCTCTTCTCCTCCGTCTGTAACAGAGGACAATGCAGATGCTCAGTAGCAGGAGCAGGAGGACGGTGGCCACTGAGGCAGTTACTGCAATTAGAACAGTGCAGTCGTCGCATACATTCTCCGCCACCACCTCTGCAACTAAACAAATAATGTAATTTATGAGGTTTAGTCCCAAAGAAGCTGAAAAATGTCATTCTTTAATTAATATTTTAATTGATACAGTCTATTATCAGGGTTTGCTGTCTTTTGTTTACGCTATTTAATGTATTTTAAGATTACCCAAACCACAGAGGGGAAACTCAGTATGCAACATAACACCGTTAGCAAACCAAATCCTGCAGCTCCCAATACTCTATTTATGTAGGATGACTTCAGAGAGATTGGGAACACTTTGCTCCACTTCATTGGTGATAAAAGCCTTGTGTCTATCTTGCAATGCCTTTCTTGTAATTTCTCTCATCACCAATAACAACCCCCCACCGTCTGCTTTCACTGATGAATATATGGACATAGACAAACCCCAGCTCTGAGTAGAGAGAAAGAGCGAGAGCGAGAGCGAGAGAGAGAGAGTTTGTGTTTCTCACCCACAGTCAGACGCACACTGCTGGCCTGGGGCGTGGGGAGGGCAGAGACAGAGGCTAGGCACTCCACATGAGAGCTCTCTGCTGCCTGGACGCTGAGATCACTGGTCAGGTTGTAGAGCCCATCCACACCAACAGGCCCTTCAGTGCTGATGTTGTACTGACCCTGGTCCACCTCTCTGCCGTTCACCAGCCAAGTCAGACTGGGCTCTGGGTACCAGCCTACAGCCAGGCACTGGAACAGGACCTCTTCCCCCTTCAGCACAGTCACGTTCCCCCCTGTGATGGCCACATTACCCCTCTCTGGAAATAAAATATTAATCGTTTTGGGATACTGAATGTATTTTCTTTCTAGTCCATTGTGCTATTTTGCAAGAGCGTGTGTAGTATTTAGCAAGTTCTGTCACGTTTATGGATTACAGGAAGGCACTGTGTGCATTACGCAGTATGCGTGTATACTGTATGCATGTGTATCCTGAGACTGATAGGGATTCTCCGAGCCACTTATAGAGGCTTCTTACTCTTCCTAAATGATTGAACGTGTGCCTCGAGGTCTCAATTAGCTGATCGGAGAATGCCTCTTTCCCCCCTTATACACTGGCAGCCAAATAAGACACTTAGACTGGGCAATATCTTCTGTGAAGTCTATTGTCTGGCAGAGTGAAAAGCAGACGGTGCAGCAGAGAATTGCTATAGATAGATAATTACTGAAGCTTCGTCTAACTGAATTACATGTCTGTTGATTCAGGATCAAAGCCCTCAATGTTCTGTGCACAAAGACTGCTCCCCCGTTCATCATAGGCTGCGTCTTGATATTTGATTTGGTGTTATATACCGTAAGTTGATATGTAACTTTGATTACACTGTCTCCCCATTGAAAAGGCTGTAAAAGGAAGCCATTTAAAGCTCTAAGCAAATCTCAGCAGTGCAATAAAGGAATAAGGATCAGAAGAAAACAGCATCTCACTTCCATGGACTAATAAACTACTGCAGCTAATCATGGATGGAAGATTGAAACATTTGAGGAAAGATAGTCAGTCCCTTACAACATGAGGCTCCTCCCCCATCATTCCAATCTAAATGATCTCTGAAATAAGGTTTCATAAGGTTTGTTAATCACAGTAAGCCTAGCCATCTTAGACAGGCTTTGTGACTGTTCCCTGAGAGAAGATGCTGGTGAGGAGTACAGCTCTTTTTAATTCCTGTGATTTTTCAACAGGGCCCTCGGCAGGGAAATTGCAACTCTGAGGGATAGTATTTAATCTGGAAGAAGTATGGGCACTTTCTGCTCGGATTAGCAGTATTGTATGTTCCAAAAGCACTAGTTGTTATGCATGTGTTTGTATGTGTGTCTGTGTGTGAATTTATTCTGATGAACAGCATGCTGCGGCTCTCCAGCCCAATCACGAAAGGCACACTCACTCGTCTCTGATTTACATCAGAGTGGCCTCATCCTCGGCTCTGGCCCTTACAGCACATTCTGTTCATATTCAACAACCCCATACAGACATATTGATTTGTTCAAGAGAATATGTGTGTGTGTGTGTGTGTGTGTGTGTCTGCGTGTGTGTGTGTGTGCGTGTGCGTGTACACGTGCGTGTGTACGTGCATGTATGTGTGTGTTTGTTTGTGTGTCTGCAAGCAGTATGTGTGTATACGTTCTGTGTGGGTGTGTTTACATCACATTCATATTGGACAATTAGAATGGAGGGCTGAGGAGAGCAAGGGGCCAGTCTCCAGTGAATATGGTATATTTGGACCAACGGGCCACAAATCACCAGCAGAGTTGCTGACTGGTAACTGGAAAACGCCTAGATGCACTATTAATTAAAAGGCTCTGAGATCCTCTGCATCCACACTGGAGGGCTTGATCCACCATGCACTATTGTTAATGGGTAGTGGTTACATACACTGAGTATATAAAACATTAAGAACACCTGCTTTTTCCATGACATATACTGACCAGGTGAATCCAGGTGAAAGCTATGATCCCTCTTGATGTCACTTGTTAAATCCACTTCAAATCAGTGTAGATGAAGGAGAGGAGACATATTAAATAATGATTTTTAAGCCTTGAGACAATTGAGACGTGGATTGTGTATGTGTGCCATCCAGAAGGTGAATGGGCAAGACAAAATATTTAAGTGCCTTTGAACAGGGCATGGTAGTAGCACACCGGTTTGTGTCAAGAACTGCAACACCGCTGGGTTTTTCACACTCAACAGTTTCCTGTGTGTATCAAGAATGGTCCACCACTCAAAGGACATCCAGCCATCTTGACACAACTGGGCCAGCATCCCTGTGGAACGCTTTCGATACCTTGTAGAGTCCATTCCCCGATGAATTGAGTCTGTTCTGATGGCAAAAGGGGTTGTGCAACTCAATATTAGGACGCTGTTCCTAATGTTTGGTATACTCAGTGTATGTCAGGGATAATGTGTAACTCTGGTAATAAAGGAGGACTCCTGTAATATATTGAAGGCAATGGGTCATTGCTTTGTTCCCTCCTTTTTGCATGGAGGACAGCAGGGCGAAATTAGCTGAATAATGAGAAAGGAAAGGGGACTATCTGAATTTCCTGTATGGTGTAATAGAGATTCATCACCCGGCGATATGTCATCATCATGTTGTTGTTTTTTTACATATCATCATCATAACCATCTCATTCATGTTTATGCTAAAACGTTGCAGAGTAAACATTAATACAATATTTATGTTTTTATCGCAAAATGAATTATTCATTTCACAGCTTTTCTTGTTTACAACCAATTTGTCTTTGGTCCAACTTCCCAATATGAGTTGTCACAGTTTCGGCCGAGGCTGCCTCTCTCCCTTGTTCGGGCAGGCTTCAGCGTTCGTTGTCTCCGGAATACTAGCTGCCACCGTTGTATGTTTCATGTTCGTTTGCTTTTGTCTGTTTGTTGTCACACCTGTTCTCGTTTAGCGTAATTAGTGTCCTATAAGTTTCTCGTTGTGTTTGTCTAGTGTTGTGTGTTATTGATTTTGGTCTGTCGTGTGTAGGGCTTCATTTGTGATTTCGCTCGGTTGAGCTTCCCTCCACTGCGTTGGAGTGTTCGCACCTGTTTTGTGCGCTTTCGTTTTGTTTCGCCTTCGTGCGTAATTTCGCCTTCGGGCAAGAGTTGTCTTATTTCCTTGCTGGAGATTACTAAAGTCTGTTGGACTATACTTCGGTGTCCTGCGTTTGATTCCACCACTGCACCCACCTACAGCACGCGTGACATGAGTGGAGTTTATAATAAGATTATATGACTGTAGAATGTAGAGGAGATATCAGCAACACCTCCTAGCATTGCTACTGTCCATACCAGCTTATCAGTTTTGGTGAATCCTGTCCCAGAGTACGGCTTGTAATCATCCTTCATCTTTCTTCATTTCTGGCTGAGTATTCTCTGTGGTAATTCTTTGCCATGCAGGGCATCCCCAGCAAACTCTCTGAGATGATTCACTGGGATACTTTTGGCTTGGAGAGATAACAATTTCAGCAAAAACTGCAGAGGAGCTCTGATTGTTATCCTGCCCTGACTTTTGAACACTATTCAATATTTGTGCCACTCAATCTCTCCACACCTTCGCCCCTGTGGAACAGAGTCTATCTGCATACTGGAAATCAGAGAAATGCACTGTGATTACAGTGGGGAAAGCACTGCATCAACGATAAGAAATTGAATAACAACAAGGAAAACAGTAATGTCCTCAAGATCCAAATAAAAGTTCAAGAAGAGAATTTTCAGTCATTAATGAACTTGCTGCAAATATATCAATAGAATAAATTTGAACAAGATAACCAATAGTTCAAAGCACAGACAGTGATACTTTGGAAACCATGCCTGACTAGGAAATCCATTATGTGAAACAGTGGTTTAAATCCTCCCAATGGAACAAAAGGATGGATGCAGGGACAAATTAATAGAGGGAAACAGAGAGAGGGATAGAGGGAAACAGAGAGAGGGATAGAGGGAAACAGAGACAGAGGGATAGAGGGAAACAGAGAGAGGGATAGAGGGAAACAGAGAGAGGGATAGAGGGAAACAGAGAGAGGGATAGAGGGAAACAGAGAGAGGGATAGAGGGAAACAGAGAGAGGGATAGAGGGAAACAGAAGGATAGAGGGAAACAGGGACAGAGGGATAGAGGGAAACAGAGAGAGGGATAGAGGGAAACAGGGACAGAGGGAAAGAGGGAAACAGAGAGAGGGATAGAGGGAAACAGAGAGAGGGATAGAGGGAAACAGAGAGAGGGATAGAGGGAAACAGAGAGAGGGATAGAGGGAAACAGGGACAGAGGGATAGAGGGAAACAGAGAGAGGGATAGAGGGAAACAGAGACAGAGGGATAGAGGGAAACAGAGAGAGGGATAGAGGGAAACAGAAGGATAGAGGGAAACAGAAGGATAGAGGGAAACAGAAGGATAGAGGGAGACAGGGACAGAGGGATAGAGGGAAACAGAGAGAGGGATAGAGGGAAACAGGGCCAGAGGGATAGAGGGAAACAGAGAGAGGGATAGAGGGAAACAGAGAGAGGGATAGAGGGAAACAGAGAGAGGGATAGAGGGAAACCGAGACAGAGGGATAGAGGGAAACAGAGAGAGGGATAGAGGGAAACAGAAGGATAGAGGGAAACTGGGTCAGAGGGGTCATCAGGAGATGATTCAGCTATTTCTGATTGACTCTCCTGCGTATCCGGTGGTGCTGGGCATGCCCTGGTTGAGTACCCATAACCCATCTATTTCGTGGCAGGAGAGGGCTCTGATGGAGTGGTCTGCCCAGTGTGTGGGTAGATGTTTAGGCGTTTCCGTAGGGGCTACCTCGGTGGAGAGTCCAAACCAGGTGCCCGCATTGCACGTTCCCCCTGAGTATGGGGATTTGGCTATTGCGTTTAGTAAGTCGAGGGCGACGCAGTTGCCGCCCCATAGGCAGGGAGATTGTGCGATAGACCTCCAGGCAGGAGCTGCGCTCCCACGGAGCCATGTGTATCCTCTGTCTCAGGAGGAGAAGAAAGCTATGGAGACTTACATAGACGAATCTCTGAGACAAGGATACATACGGCCTTCCACTTCCCCTGCGTCCTCGAGTTTCTTTTTTGTGAAGAAGAAGGATGGTGGTTTGCGCCCGTGCATCGATTACCGTGGTCTCAATCAGATCACGGTGAAGTACAGTTATCCACTCCCGCTGATTGCGACCATGACTGAGTCCTTGCATGGGGCGCGTTTCTTCACTAAATTAGATCTCAGGAGCGCGTACAACTTGGTGCGCATCAGGGAGGGCGATGAATGGAAGACAGCCTTTAGTACCACCTCGGGCCATTACGAGTATCTTGTCATGCCATACGGGTTGATGAACGCTCCGTCAGTTTTCCAATCATTCGTGGATGAGATCTTCAGGGACATGCAGGGGCAGGGGGTCGTGGTGTACATAGATGACATTCTCGTGTACTCGCCTACCCGTGTCGAGCATGTGGCCCTGGTGCGCAGAGTGTTGCGGAGGCTGGTGGAGCACGACCTGTATGTTAAGGCAGAGAAGTGTCTGTTTTTCCAGGAGTCGGTCTCCTTTTTGGGGTATCAGTTGTCTGCGTCAGGGGTGAAGATGGAGGTAGACCGGGTGTCAGCCGTGCGTAATTGGCAAACACCAACCACTGTGAAGGAGGTGCAGCAGTTTTTGGGGTTTGCGAATTACTACCGGAGGTTTATCCGGGGTTTTGGACAGGTGGCAGCTCCCATCACGTCTCTCTTGAAGGGGGGCCCGGTGCGTCTGCAGTGGTCTGCCGAGGCGGACAGGGCGTTTGGGAGGCTGAAGGACCTGTTTACCTCGGCTCCAGTGCTGGCGCATCCGGATCCCTCTTTACCATTTCAGGTAGAGGTGGACGCGTCTGAGGCTGGTATTGGAGCCGTGCTTTCACAACGGTCAGGCGCGCCACCTAAACTCCGCCCCTGTGCCTTCTATTCCAAGAAGCTCAGTCCGGCGGAGCGTAACTATGACGTAGGGGACAGGGAGCTGTTAGCCGGGGTACAGGCCCTAAAGGTGTGGAGGCACTGGCTTGAGGGGGCTCAACACCCTTTCCTCATTTTGACGGACCACCGTAACCTGGAGTACATCCGGGCAGCGAGGAGGCTAAACCCTCGGCAGGCTAGATGGAATATGTTTTTGACCCGGTTTACATTTAAGATCACGTACATCCCTGGGTCACAGAACGGTAAGGCAGATGCGCTGTCTCGGCGGTATGACACGGAGGAGAGGTCCGTGGAGCCCACTCCCATACTGCCGGAGTCGTGTCTGGTGGCACCGGTAGTGTGGGAGGTCGATGCTGAGCTCGAGCGGGCGTTACGCACCGACCCTAGTCCACCACAATGCCCGGAGGGTCGGAAGTATGTTCCGCTCGAGGTTCGGGATCGATTGATCTATTGGGCTCACACGTCACCCTCCTCTGGACACCCGGGTATCGGCCGGACAGTGCACTGTCTTAGTGCCAAGTACTGGTGGCCCACGTTGGCAAGGGATGTGAGGGTTTATGTTTCCTCCTGCTCGGTGTGCGCACAGTGTAAGGCGCCTAGACATCTGCCTAGGGGTAAGTTACTACCCCTGCCCGTTCCACAACGACCATGGTCCCACCTCTCGGTGGATTTCCTTACTGACCTTCCTCCTTCACAGGGGAATACCACTATACTGGTCGTTGTGGACCGGTTTTCTAAGGCCTGTCGTTTGCTCCCCATGCCGGGTCTTCCTACCGCCCTGCAAACTGCCGAAGCCCTATTCACCCATGTGTTCCGGCACTACGGGGTACCCGAGGATATTGTGTCTGATCGAGGTCCCCAATTTACCTCCAGAGTCTGGAGAGCTTTTATGGAGCGGTTGGGGGTCTCGGTGAGCCTCACCTCGGGTTACCACCCGGAGAGTAATGGGCAGGTGGAACATGTGAACCAGGATGTGGGTAGGTTTCTTAGAACATACTGCCAGGACCGGCCGGAGGAGTGGGCAAGGTACGTTCCCTGGGCCGAAATGGCCCAGAATTCCCTACGCCATTCCTCCACTAACCTAACCCCTTTCCAATGTGTGTTAGGGTACCAGCCGGTTCTGGCACCTTGGCAGCAGAGCCAGATCGAGGCTCCTGCGGTGGATGAGTGGGCGCGGCGCTCGGAGGAGACATGGAAACGCTGCACACGTCCACCTGCAGCGGGCCCTCCGACGTCATAAGGCGAGCGCCGATCTCCACCGCAGTGAGGGACCGGTGTACGCACCTGGTGATCGAGTCTGGCTCTCTACCAGAAACCTGCCCCTCCGCCTGCCCTGTCGGAAACTGGGTCGGCGGTTTGTAGGGCCATTTAAAGTCCTGGGAAGGTTGAACGAGGTGTGTTACAAATTACAACTACCTGTTGAATATAAAAGTATTAACCCCTCGTTCCATGTGTCCCTTCTCAGGCCGGTGGTAGCTGGCCCACTCCAAGAAAGTGAGATCAGGGAGACTCCTCCGCCCCCATTGGACATCGAGGGGGCACCGGCGTACTCCGTGAGGTCCATCTTGGATTCGAGACGTCGGATGGGGGGTCTCCAGTATCTAGTGGAGTGGGAGGGGTACGGTCCGGAGGAGCGGTGCTGGGTGCCAAGGAGAGACATTTTGGACCCGTCTCTCCTGACGGAATTCCATCGTGGGCACCCGACGCACCCTGCTCCGCGTCCTCCGGGTCGTCCCCGAGGCCGGAGTCGGCGCACGTCTGGAGCCGCGCGTCAAGGGGGGGGTACTGTCACGGTTTCGGCCGAGGCTGCCTCTCTCCCTTGTTCGGGCAGGCTTCGGCGTTCGTTGTCTCCGGAATACTAGCTGCCACCGTTGTATGTTTCATGTTCGTTTGCTTTTGTCTGTTTGTTGTCACACCTGTTCTCGTTTAGCGTAATTAGTGTCCTATAAGTTTCTCGTTGTGTTTGTCTAGTGTTGTGTGTTATTGATTTTGGTCTGTCGTGTGTAGGGCTTCATTTGTGATTTCGCTCGGTTGAGCTTCCCTCCACTGCGTTGGAGTGTTCGCACCTGTTTTGTGCGCTTTCGTTTTGTTTCGCCTTCGTGCGTAATTTCGCCTTCGGGCAAGAGTTGTCTTATTTCCTTGCTGGAGATTACTAAAGTCTGTTGGACTATACTTCGGTGTCCTGCGTTTGATTCCACCACTGCACCCACCTACAGCACGCGTGACATGAGTGGAGTTTATAATAAGATTATATGACTGTAGAATGTAGAGGAGATATCAGCAACACCTCCTAGCATTGCTACTGTCCATACCAGCTTATCAGTTTTGGTGAATCCTGTCCCAGAGTACGGCTTGTAATCATCCTTCATCTTTCTTCATTTCTGGCTGAGTATTCTCTGTGGTAATTCTTTGCCATGCAGGGCATCCCCAGCAAACTCTCTGAGATGATTCACTGGGATACTTTTGGCTTGGAGAGATAACAATTTCAGCAAAAACTGCGGAGGAGCTCTGATTGTTATCCTGCCCTGACTTTTGAACACTATTCAATATTTGTGCCACTCAATCTCTCCACACCTTCGCCCCTGTGGAACAGAGTCTATCTGCATACTGGAAATCAGAGAAATGCACTGTGATTACAGTGGGGAAAGCACTGCATCAACGATAAGAAATTGAATAACAACAAGGAAAACAGTAATGTCCTCAAGATCCAAATAAAAGTTCAAGAAGAGAATTTTCAGTCATTAATGAACTTGCTGCAAATATATCAATAGAATAAATTTGAACAAGATAACCAATAGTTCAAAGCACAGACAGTGATACTTTGGAAACCATGCCTGACTAGGAAATCCATTATGTGAAACAGTGGTTTAAATCCTCCCAATGGAACAAAAGGATGGATGCAGGGACAAATTAATAGAGGGAAACAGAGAGAGGGATAGAGGGAAACAGAGAGAGGGATAGAGGGAAACAGAGACAGAGGGATAGAGGGAAACAGAGAGAGGGATAGAGGGAAACAGAGAGAGGGATAGAGGGAAACAGAGAGAGGGATAGAGGGAAACAGAGAGAGGGATAGAGGGAAACAGAGAGAGGGATAGAGGGAAACAGAGAGAGGGATAGAGGGAAACAGAAGGATAGAGGGAAACAGGGACAGAGGGATAGAGGGAAACAGAGAGAGGGATAGAGGGAAACAGGGACAGAGGGAAAGAGGGAAACAGAGAGAGGGATAGAGGGAAACAGAGAGAGGGATAGAGGGAAACAGAGAGAGGGATAGAGGGAAACAGAGAGAGGGATAGAGGGAAACAGGGACAGAGGGATAGAGGGAAACAGAGAGAGGGATAGAGGGAAACAGAGACAGAGGGATAGAGGGAAACAGAGAGAGGGATAGAGGGAAACAGAAGGATAGAGGGAAACAGAAGGATAGAGGGAAACAGAAGGATAGAGGGAGACAGGGACAGAGGGATAGAGGGAAACAGAGAGAGGGATAGAGGGAAACAGGGCCAGAGGGATAGAGGGAAACAGAGAGAGGGATAGAGGGAAACAGAGAGAGGGATAGAGGGAAACAGAGAGAGGGATAGAGGGAAACCGAGACAGAGGGATAGAGGGAAACAGAAGGATAGAGGGAAACTGGGACAGAGGGATAGAGGGAAACAGAAGGATAGAGGGAAACAGGGACAGAGGGATAGAGGGAAACAGAGAGAGGGATAGAGGGAAACAGGGACAGAGGGATAGAGGGAAACAGAAGGATAGAGGGAAACAGGGACAGAGGGGAAAAGGAAAGAGGATACCTAGTCAGTTGTACAACTGAATGCATTCAACCGAAATGTGTCTTCCGCATTTAACCCAACCCCTCTGAATCAGAGAGGTGCGGGGGGCTGCCTTAATCGGCATCCAAGTCAAGAAACAGAGATGGAGAAACATATGGAAAGAGAGATAGAGGGGGGAAAAGGGAAACAGGGAAAGAGGGAAACAGGAAAAGATGGATAGAGCAATAGAGGAATACAGGGATAGAGGGAGGGCGTATCAGGTGAGGGATGACATACTCTAAATCCCGGCTGGTGTATGACTGGCGCTCAGGAGAGTGCCCTCCACCCTGTATTTATAACTGGCCCAATCGATTTCCATCCCACACCCTCCAACCCTGGCATCAACAATGTCATACAGCCACTGCAGCAGTCTTACTCTAAGACAGGCCCCAAATAAATTCCCTCCATTGATATACACCTGGATCGATGCCCAACAACCAAATCAGCTGCTTTGAGAAAAACTGGAGAAAATCTGCTGCATGCATGAAACCCCAAACAAGTTAAAACAAAAGCATTCAATTAAAACAACAAGCCAATATGGCTTAGGAAAACATTTAGTTTTTGTCTCTAGTGTCAGGGAGTGTGTGGGTGGCATCATCAAGGATGAGGTTCAACTTTTTGTTCTCCTAGTCAAGGTTAAATTCCCCTTTCTGTCTTATTTCATTCTGCCATTGTTTTCAAAAGGGGTTCCATCTGTTTCGTTTTCTTTGTGTGTGTATGAACGTGTACACGTGAGTGTGCGTACATGTGTGAGAGACAAGGAGAGAGAGAGAATCCATAAGAATAGAAAATCCCACTTCACAGCTGGCTTTTGAAATCCTCTCTTGAAAAACCTTTGCCGTACAGTAACCGTGGCTCCTTTGTTTCTCTGCCATACTGAATATTGTCAGCCTGCCAGTAGACAGCCACCTCAAGGACAGCCAAATGAGAAAAGCACACAAACCTTGAACAAACAGATCGGCAGTTTGCCTCTGGATGTTTTGGAGGTCACAGGTCACCTCTCCCTGGTGGCTGCGCTGGACTCTCTTCAGTGCAAATTCCCAGCTGGAGAGCTGATTGGTGGAGCGGTTCATGGCGGTCACATTGGGGTTGTTTGAGAGAATACCGTACTGGGCTGAGATGGTCAACACAGAGCCACCGTTGAGGATCCACACCATGACCTGCCAGGGCTCAGCCGTGCTGCAGATCAGCCGGGCCGTGTCACCTCGCAGCACAGTGATGGTTCTGGGCTCCAGCTGCATCCGGGCCTCCAGCACTATCAGGGACAGACAGAGACATGGGCGTCAGAAGCATGGTGCACGGAAAATGTGGGTGACATTGGGGTGTTGTGATATAATCATGATTTAGTTATAATGGAAACCAATGACACATTTGAATCCCACTGAATCACTCTCTGATATGGTACATGAGGTGTGACTGTCTTGGTTGATTGTAAGGCTGTTAGAAACATGCAAGATCTGACTATAAAACTCATCCTCAAAAAAACATTGCGTAAAACTGAGTCGAGAAGACTTTTGAAATGTGACCTACACAAACTTATCTCTCTCTTTCTTACCCCAAATTTGCGTATAAATCTTTTGAATGCAGACAGAGGTAAAACATTAGACATAGAAGGCATAGTATGTGGGTATGTGTGGATGTATTGTGATAGAAGGTGTGGTGTGCGTTTTTGTGTTTGGAAAAGTGTGGCGTTAAGTGAGGGAGAAAGGAAATGGTTGCATATCCCAGAACCAACGTGTATCTGTGAGCAGGGGTTATGAGAGAGAGCTTTCAATTTTGTGCAGATGAGGGATATACATTTTAAAATAAAGTATACATTATTTATTATTATTATACATCTAATCTATTTTTTTATTGTCCTATCATGATGGAACGGTCCCCAACACTATATCCTAGACACCCACCTGAGTGACCCATACACCAAAGAGAAATCCCCATCTGTTTTATGGCCCTGCTGTTAGTTGCCTATATGCAGCCAAAACAGAAAGATAAATGCGGTCAGAGACCCTCAAGATTCTGAGCCTGCCTGGCAGGGTTGGTCCTACAAAGCCAGAGCCCCCTGGTGGGAGAGCATAATATACAAGGAAATTCTCAAAGCTGCTAATGAGAACCTTGAAGACCTTGTACCTAGCCGGTGGGGATTCCAGTGGGGTACCCCCACCCAGGTAGTGGCAGTGCTGGCAACACTGGCTGCAGTAACCCATGGGGAGGGGGTCACACTCGGACAATCATAGAGGGGGCATATTATTGTGGCCCTGGTGGCACAAAATAATCAAAGGTCTGACTACACGGAGATGCTTGGGAAAAATGGTTACAACGGGGGACCAGAGTGTTTGTGTCTCAGGGGAAGAGGGTGTATCTGATCTCCATCACCTAGGATTTGACATAGGTTAATCAAATCTAAAATGTTTGTCAATTTTTGCTCAATCTTGCATGCTTTCTCAAACAGCTATACAGTGGGGAGAACAAGTATTTGATACACTGCCGATTTTGCAGGTTTTCCTACTTACAAAGCATGTAGAGGTCTGTAATTTTTATCATAAGTACACTTCAACTGTGAGAGACGGAATCTAAAACAAAAATCTAGAAAATCACATTGTATGATTTTTAAGTAATTAATTTGCATTTTATTGCATGACATAAGTATTTGATCACCTACCAACCAGTAAGAATTCCGGCTCTCACAGACCTGTTAGTTTTTCTTTAAGAAGCCCTCCTGTTCTCCACTCATTACCTGTATTAACTGCACCTGTTTGAACTCGTTACCTGTATAAAAGACACCTGTCCACACACTCAATCAAACAGACTCCAACCTCTCCACAATGGCCAAGACCAGAGAGCTGTGTAAGGACATCAGGGATAAAATTGTAGACCTGCACAAGGCTGGGATGGGCTACAGGACAATAGGCAAGCAGCTTGGTGAGAAGGCAACAACTGTTGGCGCAATTATTCGAAAATGGAAGAAGTTCAAGATGACGGTCAATCACCCTCGGTCTGGGGCTCCATGCAAGATCTCACCTCGTGGGGCATCAATGATCATGAGGAAGGTGAGGGATCAGCCAAGAACTACACGGCAGGACCTGGTCAATGACCTGAAGAGAGCTGGGACCACAGTCTCAAAGAAAACCATTAGTAACACACCACGCCGTCATGGATTAAAATCCTGCAGGGCACGCAAGGTCCCTCTGCTCAAGCCAGCGCATGTCCAGGCCTGTCTGAAGTTTGCCAATGACCATCTGGATGATCCAGAGGAGGAATGGGAGAAGGTCATGTGGTCTGATGAGACAAAAGTAGAGCTTTTTGGTCTAAACTCCACTCGCCGTGTTTGGAGGAAGAAGAATGATGAGTACAACCCCAAGAACACCATCCCAACCGTGAAGCATGGAGGTGGAAACATCATTCTTTGGGGATGCTTTTCTGCAAAGGGGACAGGACGACTGCACCGTATTGAGGGGAGGATGGATGGGGCCATGTATCGCGAGATCTTGGCCAACAACCTCCTTCCCTCAGTAAGAGCATTGAAGATGGGTCGTGGCTGGGTCTTCCAGCATGAAAACGACCTGAAACACACAGCCAGGGCAACTAAGGAGTGGCTCCGTAAGAAGCATCTCAAGGTCCTGGAGTGGCCTAGCCAGTCTCCAGACCTGAACCCAATAGAAAATCTTTGGAGGGAGCTGAAAGTGCGTATTGCCCAGCGACAGCCCCGAAACCTGAAGGATCTGGAGAAGGTCTGTATGGAGGAGTGAGCCAAAATCCCTGCTGCAGTGTGTGCAAACCTGGTCAAGACCTACAGGAAACGTATGATCTCTGTAATTGCAAACAAAGGTTTCTGTACCAAATATTAAGTTCTGCTTTTCTTATGTATCAAATACTTATGTCATGCAATAAAATGCAAATGAATTACTTAAAAATCATACAATGTGATTTTCTGGATTTTTGTTTTAGATTCCGTCTCTTACAGTTGAAGTGTACCTATGATAAAAATTACAGACCTCTACATGCTTTGTAAGTAGGAAAACCTGCAAAATCGGCAGTGTATCAAATACTTGTTCTCCCCATTGTAACTGTATATGCATTCGTAAATCAGGTCCTTTCTTGAGTTGGCCTCTGGGTTGTAACAACCGTTGAGCATCTGAGCTTATGGTTGATTGTGGAGGAAAGGGATTGAGTGTGTTAGAGTATGTGCGTGTGTGTGTATCCCACATCTGTTGCAAGGGGGTAAGGATGTTAGGGAGAATATAAGATGAACCACAATAATTGTTTGCTAAAATAATAATTGCTTGACAAAAATGTAATGTAATACAATGGCAATCCGGGTTATAGGTAACAATCCTTCGCATGCTGCCGACATTATTACGCATATTAATTGATAATGATGGAAATTAAGATATGCAAGATATTTGAATAGATATATATTTTTAATAGCTATATATATATATATATATATATATATATATATATATATATTGAGGTGAGAGTATTGGAAATGCTTTTGGCGGTTGACCTGCTTCTGTTTTCTGGGTGGCACTGTGTGCTGTTTTCGAAGGATGGGTCCTGTGGCCTCTCGGGGGGGCCTAGGGATCCGGGGGGACAGGGGTGGTATGCCGATCACTGGGATGACAACCCAACTTGGGATGGGGAGGGGCTTTAGCGGGGGGAATAGTGGAGAACAATTGGAGGGTTACTTAGTAGCAATGCAAATATCATAGTACAGCTACAGTGGGGAAAAAAAGTATTTAGTCAGCCACCAATTGTGCAAGTTCTCCCACTTAAAAAGATGAGAGAGGCCTGTAATTTTCATCATAGGTACACGTCAACTATGACAGACAAATTGAGAGAAAAAATCCAGAAAATCACATTGTAGGATTTTTAATGAATTTATTTGCAAATTATGGTGGAAAATAAGTATTTGGTCACCTACAAACAAGCAAGATTTCTGGCTCTCACAGACCTGTAACTTCTTCTTTAAGAGGCTCCTCTGTCCTCCACTCGTTACCTGTATTAATGGCACCTGTTTGAACTTGTTATCAGTATAAAAGACACCTGTCCACAACCTCAAACAGTCACACTCCAAACTCCACTATGGCCAAGACCAAAGAGCTGTCAAAGGACACCAGAAACAAAATTGTAGACCTGCACCAGGCTGGGAAGACTGAATCTGCAATAGGTAAGCAGCTTGGTTTGAAGAAATCAACAGTGGGAGCAATTATTAGGAAATGGAAGACATACAAGACCGCTGATAATCTCCCTCGATCTGGGGCTCCACGCAAGATCTCACCCCGTGGGGTCAAAATGATCACAAGAACGGTGAGCAAAAATCCCAGAACCACACGGGGGGACCTAGTGAATGACCTGCAGAGAGCTGGGACCAAAGTAACAAAGCCTACCATCAGTAACACACTACGCCGCCAGGGACTCAAATCCTGCAGTACAAGACGTGTCCCCCTGCTTAAGCCAGTACATGTCCAAGCCCGTTTGAAGTTTGCTAGAGTGCATTTGGATGATCCAGAAGAGGATTGGGAGAATGTCATATGGTCAGATGAAACCAAAATAGAACTTTTTGGTAAAAACTCAACTCGTCGTGTTTGGAGGACAAAGAATGCTGAGTTGCATCCAAAGAACACCATACCTACTGTGAAGCATGGGGGTGGAAACATCATGCTTTGGGGCTGTTTTTCTGCAAAGGGACCAGGACGACTGATCCGTGTAAAGGAAAGAATGAATGGGGCCATGTATCGTGAGATTTTGAGTGAAAACCTCCTTCCATCAGCAAGGGCATTGAAGATGAAACGTGGCTGGGTCTTTCAGCATGACAATGATCCCAAACACACCTCCCGGGCAACGAAGGAGTGGCTTCGTAAGAAGCATTTCAAGGTCCTGGAGTGGCCTAGCCAGTCTCCAGATCTCAACCCCATAGAAAATCTTTGGAGGGAGTTGAAAGTCCGTGTTGCCCAGCGACAGCCCCAAAACATCACTGCTCTAGAGGAGATCTGCATGGAGGAATGGGCCAAAATACCAGCAACAGTGTGTGAAAACCTTGTGAAGACTTACAGAAAACGTTTGACCTGTGTCATTGCCAACAAAGGGTATATAACAAAGTATTGAGAAACTTTTGTTATTGACCAAATACTTATTTTCCACCATAATATGCAAATAAATTCATTAAAAATCCTACAATGTGATTTTCTGGAGAAAAAAATTCTCATTTTGTCTGTCATAGTTGACGTGTACCTATGATGAAAATTACAGGCCTCTCTCATCTTTTTAAGTGGGAGAACTTGCACAATTGGTGGCTGACCAAATACTTTTTTCCCCCACTGTATATAGGTTGAGAGCTTTTGTGAAAGAGCACAGTTAGAAAGATATGGCATATAGAAGCAAACCGGATGGACATCATGAAAATTATCGGAGAGGTTGAGGGTAGAGGAAGTTCAGGAGTAAAAAAATTACAAAATAGAATTATTGTAAAATTGACTGTGTCCATAAAATGTATAGTATGTATTAGCTGGAAGTAGAGGCCTAAGCGTTGTTGTTCACTAGTTTACTCCAATTAGGGAAGGGGTGGTGGGGTTGGAAAGTAATAAAGGGAAATATATATATTTTTAAGGATATGTATATATATATATACAGTGGGGAGAACAAGTATTTGATACACTTCCGATTTAGCAGGTTTTCCTACTTACAAAGCATCTAGAGGTCTGTAATTTTTATCATAGGTACACTTCAACTGTGAGAGACGGAATCTAAAACAAAAATCCAGAGAATCACATTGTATGATTTTTAAGTAATTAATTTGCATTTTATTGCATGACATAAGTATTTTACACATCAGAAAAGCAGAACTTAATATTTGGTACAGAAACCTTTGTTTGCAATTACAGAGATCATACGTTTCCTGTAGGTCTTGACCAGGTTTGCACACACTGCAGCAGGGATTTTGGCCCACTCCTCCATACAGACCTTCTCCAGATCCTTCAGGTTTCGGGGCTGTCGCTGGGCAATACGGACTTTCAGCTCCCTCCAAAGATGTTCTATTGGGTTCAGGTCTGGAGAATGGCTAGGCCACTCCAGGACCTTGAGATGCTTCTTACGGAGCCACTCATTAGTTGCCCTGGCTGTGTGTTTCGGGTCGTTGTCATGCTGGAAGACACAGCCACGACCCATCTTCAATGCTCTTACTGAGGGAAGGAGGTTGTTGGCCAAGATCTCGCGATACATGGCCCCATCCATCCTCCCCTCAATACGGTGCAGTCGTCCTGTCCCCTTTGCAGAAAAGCATCCCCAAAGAATGATGTTTCCACCTCCATGCTTCACGGTTGGGATGGTGTTCTTGGGGTTGTACTCATCCTTCTTCTTCCTCCAAACACGGCGAGTGGAGTTTAGACCAAAAAGCTCTATTTTTGTCTCATCAGACCACATGACCTTCTCCCATTCCTCCTCTGGATCATCCAGATGGTCATTGGCAAACTTCAGACGGGCCTGGACATGCGCTGGCTTGAGCAGGGGGACCTTGCGTGCGCTGCAGGATTTTAATCCATGACGGCGTAGTGTGTTACTAATGGTTTTCTTTGAGACTGTGGTCCCAGCTCTCTTCAGGTCATTGACCAGGTCCTGCCGTGTAGTTCTGGGCTGATCCCTCACCTTCCTCATGATCATTGATGCCCCACGAGGTGAGATCTTGCATGGAGCCCCAGACCGAGGGTGATTGACCGTTACCTTGAACTACTTCCATTTTCTAATAATTGCGCCAACAGTTGTTGCCTTCTCACCAAGCTGCTTGCCTATTGTCCTGTAGCCCATCCCAGCCTTGTGCAGGTCTACAATTTTATCCCTGATGTCCTTACACAGCTCTCTGGTCTTGGCCATTGTGGAAAGGTTGGAGTCTGTTTGATTGAGTGTGTGGACAGGTGTCTTTGATACAGGTAACGAGTTCAAACAGGTGCAGTTAATACAGGTAATGAGTGGAGAACAGGAGGGCTTCTTAAAGAAAAACTAACAGGTCTGTGAGAGCCGGAATTCTTACTGGTTGGTAGGTGATCAAATACTTATGTCATGCAATAAAATGCAAATTAATTACTTAAAAATCATACAATGTGATTTTCTGGATTTTTGTTTTAGATTCCGTCTCTCAAAGTTGAAGTGTACCTGTGATAAAAATTACAGACCTCTACATGCTTTGTAAGTAGGAAAACCTGCAAAATCGGCAGTGTATCAAATACTTGTTCTCCCCACTGTATATATATATATTTTTTTATTTTTTTATTTTTTTGCAAGAAAAAGAAAACATGGGGGATTGGAAGTGATTCAGACAATTACATTGATGGAAGTTACAATCTACCTGCAATATTAAAGCTGATCTACCCCCAAATAAATAAATGTAAATAAATATATTTATTTAAAAAAAATACAAAAATACATTAGTCACATGCTTGTCGGCTCCAGACAAACACATGTTAAACCAGTGGGTCCAAATGAGGAGAGCGACTCTAAATCTGTGCCGAGCTGTCCAGATGGCGAGCAGGATTTGACTCGGGCAACCAGAATTTACAGAGTAGAGTACAGACAAAAAGGACAGTGTAAATTAGGGCCCATAGCAGCAGCAGGCAGTGGATGGGCACTCTATAAGTAGCACTACGTTAGGATGGGTAAACAAACACATTAACAGCTGAAGTGCCATGTTAGATTTAATTACCCACAAGACCGTGTACCTGATTAAGAATAGATAGACTGTATAGTCTGTGAGGAGAGAAGCTCTATACCTTGCTGTGAGGCATTTTCGTTGCGCTCCTCCTTTAGAAAAGTCATCCCCCAATTGAATTTCAGTGGTGCTTCACAACTTAATTCCATTGATAAATGGAGGTGTAAAGGGGAAAATATGAATGGGTCTGTCATGTTCGTCTAAGGACGGGTCAGACCAAGGCGCAGCGTGATATACGTACATGTTTATTTTAACTATTAAACACACGACAAAGGAAACGAAACGTGAAGTCCAAGGTAGCACACACAACATACCTTACAAGGAACAAGATCCCACAACCCACTAGTGCCAATAGGCTGCCTAAGTATGATCCCCAATCAGAGACAACGAGCTACAGCTGCCTCTGATTGGGAACCACACCGGCCAACATAGATCTACACATAATAGATCGAAACATAGAAAACACACAACAAAGAATATACACACCCTGACTCAACATTTAAGCGTCCCCTGAGTCAGGGCGTGACAGGGTCTGGTGCAACTTTGGAATATGAAATAATATGCTCTTTCCAAATAATCTGGGTGATGTATAAATTGTTTGTGCAGTGCTAAATGTGTTAGCCGATATGGCCTGTGTGGAGTCATAAATGATGTATCCGTTTGGGAAATTAGGTCTGAGAAATATCTAGGGCAGCTTATATAGCTCATACTTTTCCACCGAATGGGAGAATGATTTAAGTAATGAACATTTTCATGCTCTAATTTGAGATGGGATTCAGTGACACTCTTGTCCCTGACCACTATATCTTCCCACTAACAAGAAACACCAGCATTTTGAGGAAATTAATTATGCAGAGCACATATATCATTAGGAAGTTAATTAGTGTGCCTGTGGGTTTAATATCAAGGGGTTCAATGATCAAGCACATTGTGGTAGGGGGGATACACAGGCAAATTACTGGCTTCTGATATAAGATTCTAACCCAAGTGGAGCCCTTGTTGGTATGGCAGTCTTACCCTGAGCCACACAGGCCAGAAGTATCAAGGGGATGAGGTTGCCCATACTGCCCAGGGAACAGTCAAACCATTGTTCCAAGCTGAATGGACACAGAGACAAGAGAGTGAGATAAAAACGACATTAATGAATGTGTGTTGATGGTAAACCTTAATTCATTTCAGAATTGGATGTGGCAGTGTGTTACAGATACAATTATGCACACCATTTTTGGCAGTCAAAAGCAGTAATCTTGATTGCTTTCTTTTCTAAATTGGCAGGAAAAACAGAATTTCTTTTCTGTAATGAATTTGTAATTGAAATGTAAACACCTACTACCTCTGATTAAATGTACCAAAAAATAAATCTAAAAAAAGTTTTTCTACTTCAGAGTACGTTCTTCACATTTAAATGAAATTGACTTAATTATCTAAAATAAGAAAAACACATCCCTAAAGTTTGTTTTCTAATTGTTCCTTTGAATAGTTCAATTTCAACCAACCTGAATTTAAGTGTACTTACAAGGATTAAACAAACATTTCCTTACGGTATAGCTCGAGAAGAACTCAGTAAAATAAGTACAGTAAGTCCCAAAAATATACTGAAGAGATACACACGAATTTGTACTATAACATTTTTATCATGTAATCGTGATGCAACTGTAATCGTGATGCAACAAACGTATATGTTGTAATAATCATAGATGTCCTATAATTAATTAATTATAGGATCTTTATGGTAATATGCTATGTTTGTCCTCCTATTGTATATGCTAGATACCACAGAGCTGTTATCTCCCACAGAAATATGTTGACTGGGTAAATGTATTGTTGAACAAAATACAGCTTTTTTACAGTATTTATCTCACTTACCTCAGTGTGACTTTGTGGATTTCTGACAGGTACTGCACCACAGGCTGTGAGCTAAGGAACACTATTGACAATGCTGCTGCTATCTCCTCCAGTATGGCAGTTGTGTACTGTAGCTACCATATCACCCAAAACCAGCCTGTTAAACATTACCACAGACGAATGCGAACTTTGCTCCCTGCTTCGAACAAATGGCGGCAAACATACATCATGACTCACTCCCACAGTACCAGTGAGAACAATGCCATTGAAATTCCCCCAGTCTACAGAGGCTTCATGGCAGCTCCCCTCCCTCTTCAGGAGAATGGGTCAGGACAGACATGATGACCTTTGTGTGAATTTAGAGGGAGAACATTGATCACTGTAATGCCAACCGACCAAAAGTATGCTGTGTTCCAAGGGAGAGCACATCTGTTAAGGCCTCTGAGACCTCAGCCGATTTTGATTTGTCAGGTCTCTTCCATTCAAATGCATATAACTTTCAATAAAGTTATGTCTTCAAAAGAGAGCACCAAATATCACATTTCTAGGACAAATTCACAAAACTCGCACTTATAATACAAATGTAGACATAAATGTGTTCTTGGTTTTCTTTTCCACCGAATTCTTCTCACTGTGCAATACCCTCCTCCATACCTCTTTCTGGAGTCCCCAGAGATAGGCTTTACACTGAGCTACATCCTGTTGACTTGAGCTTGCACTGCCCAGCCCTAACATTGTACATTGATCTATAAATAAAACACAATGAATTGAAAATAGAGCATAATAGGCCATGGGGAGCTGTTTACACCACTCTACTTTATTGGCATTTCACTTCTCTTACATCTAGGGGGATCTCAGTCATCTACTTCCTTTTACATTCAACAAAGTGCACAGTAGATCAGCAGACAGTAATGTTCAGTGAACGGTGTCCAGTAGCTGCAAACACAGTCATAAGGCACGCTACATGAGGGTCGTCACTAGTTTCCACAGCCACAAAGTCATAATGTTGGCTAAACCCCGCCCATTTCTACAATTGATCTTCTTAAAATTTGATTTTAAACCTAACCCTAACCACACTGCTAACCACACTGCTAACATTATGCTTAACCCTAACCTTAGAATAAGATCAAAAAGCAATTTGTGGAATCTGACTTTGTGGCTATGGAAGCTAGTGGAAAGCCTACACAAGGGTCTTTCTCATGTTGGACTGAGGCATAGATAGTCACTGGGTTGCATTCACACACGTAGATCTAACATCTTTGCCGGCATCGAGTGAGAGGCACTGCATTGATAGATCTGTTTCAGTCTGAGATTATAAGTCCATTCACTGGTTGCAGTTCACAGTAGTGATCTTCACTCAGATACTCACAGGGTTATAGCTGTCAGTCATTGACTGCTAAGATATCAGTGGTGACATGCTCATCATCCTATACAAACTGTGATATAAAACTACAATTTTCAATTGGCAACATGAAGTATGTCTGAAATCTTTAAAACGCTTAACATATGACTGTGTATGTACACTTAGAAAAATTGCTAATAACAACAAACTGATAACACTATGTCATTGAGCTACGCACTGGATGGAAGCTACCATAAACTAACAATGTTATACAAATGAAGTACAGCAATACATCTTCTCTAGTCCTAGTCCCCTACGCAATATAAACATCTGGTAAAACAGGGGGTTATCTCTGGAGTATGGGTGGGCCGTACAGACAGTGTGTGATTGGCAGGTTTCAGCCGGCAGGGTCTAGCAGGGGGACATGTGCATTCCCAGTGAGCAGTTGAGTGCATCGTGGGTAGTGGGATGGGTGGGGGATTGTCTGAGGGGTCAGGAAGGGCCGGAACAGGGGGTCTCTCTAGGCTGGAAGACAACAAAAAGAGGTCACCAATGCGTCGTTGCTATAGGCTGTGGGTCCTAAGCTTTCAATCACCACTGTGCCCAAACTGCCCATGCCTCCCTGAGTGCCAGTCCCTGCCGAGGCTCTTCAGAAGCTCACTTAACGGCTTTCTCTAACTGGGCGTGACAGGTTTGGGGTTTTTTGGGGAGGGGGTGCGGTGGTCTGTGCCATCCGATCAAAGTCTCAGGCTGTTCCCTCTCCTCAACCCAAATATCTCCTGGAGAGAGCAGAGCCATTTCCTACACTACTGGAGAGGGGCGATGAGTGCGGCTTTGTAGATTACGATTATTATTATTATTATCTTCATTACTGCCGCAGGAAAAGAAAAGAGAATTCATGAGATATCGTTTTATATGGCTGTTCTTTGGATCCTTCAGGCATTCTGTGCTCAATGAAGCTTTTTGTGTAAAGAGACTGATGACAGTCCCTGTTAAATAGCCCAATGCTCTGTTCTCTCTAGCTTCTCTGACAGAACACTTATGAAAACACACAGCTATTTTTAGGGCAATAAATAATACAATACAATGGTTTAATAATGCCAGTAAGAAGAGCCATTTGATAAAAGGGTCAAAAAGGCACAGAGTAATACATGTACTGAATAGTTTTCTTTTTAAATTACTCTAGAAAGACATTCAGTAACAAGAAGAAATGTTTATGAGGTATACGATGCAGCCATCGGTTCACTGCAAACTACATACTCTCATACTGCCACCCAGTGGCAGACAAGAGAATTCTGATTAAGTAATAAAGTAGTGTATTTTACCTGGGCAGTAGTAAACCACATCCTAAACCTTTCCTGGCTGTAACTACTCGTCCTCTTCTTCCTGCTGAGAAAAGAAAACTGAGTAATGACAACGTTGATGACAAGGTAAAGCAAGACATCAGAAGAGAGGAGAACCAAGATATCCAAGGAAGACCCTAAAAATTGCCAAAGACTCCAGCCACCCTAGTCATAGACTGTTCTCTCTGCTACCGCACGGCAAGCAGTACCGGAGCGCCAAGTCTAGGTCCAAAAGGCTTCTTAACAGCTTCTACCCCCAAGCCATAAGACTCCTGAACAGCTAATCAAATGGCTACCCGGACTATTTGCATTGTCCCCCCTCACTGTAAGGTCTACACCTGTTGTATTCGGGGGCATGTGACAAATAACATTTGAATTTGATATCCCACTCAGTAATATCAATATATGAGCCAAACTGTAGTTTAACTCCATTTTAGTTTCTTTTTTTTTTAAAGAGCACAGATGACTCATCTTAAAGTGCTAGTTTAACAAAGAGAGCAGCCCGAACAAAGCTTCCCTCTCCAATTAAGTGATATCGCTCAGCTGTGCTTGATTACAGTTTAATAGGATTACTGAGAAGCGGAGAAACTGATTTAATTCAGATAAGGCAGTCATCATCATCAATAACCATAAGAAAGATTCACTAGAATATTCAGTAGAATGCTCAGATCCTTCTCAAAGTGGTACAAGAGTCTTTGCACCAAGGTGAACACTGGTGGGAACATCAGTGTGTTTGCAGGTTGCTATACTACCTCTGCTTCCTCTACCTCTGTCACTTTTTCTTCTTCATCCTTGGCATAACAAAAAATACAAAAACATATGTTGTCGTTGTTTTTTTTTTAAGGGAAGGGTCCAGTTGGGTTAAAAGGGAGTAAAACCATATTACAAACCAGGGGAGGCATCAAGAAAACAGGTAGGAGAGGTGAGGATGGGAAGACACTAGGAACACTAGGAATATATCCACTACTTAGGCCAAGGGAACAAGTTATCCACAGGGATAAGGCATCATTCCCTTAACTGCTAGTGAAGTAGTAAGAGTAGTGTGGGCCTTTAAGCAAGGCCCTCTATGAGGTGGTGTCATATGACGTGAAACTGCAAGGCACTACACACTTCACAAATCATCAGACCACATTCACTCCAAGGTGCATCTGTTGGGTTGATCATGGTGTTGCGCTAATACAATTAGCTACATTTCTACAAATGTAAATAGCCTATGGGTTAAATAAATTAAACATATTTAGTCCTGTGACCAAGTAATTCACTGTTTTTAATAACTAAGTAACGGACAACTTGCTTGTGGATATAGTGCTTGCTGTGTATTCAAGATTTGATAAATGATGTCCACGGTAACAAATTATTTAAAGCAGCGTAGTCTGGTGCAACATATCTGACACTGCCAAGATCTTGTTGTGGAGGAGCATTGCACAATAACAAACAGTCCATTAATCTTCTGATGTGCTTGTCCTGTCCACACTGTCCACACACTCCTTGCAAAGAGAAGCCATGCCAATGGCTTTTTAAACATCCCGGTTGTCATCAAGTTCTGGTCAAGTCACTAGGGATCCCTATGAAACACTGTAAGATCCAATTCACAAGCACATCTAGGTGTCAAACTTATGCTCATGAGCGCAGAGGCAGATCTTGACACCAAACGATGCATGTCACCTGTTATGAAACATCCACTGGCACAATGCTGCAGAATACTCAAGCCTCCACATAAACCAACGGGCAATGACCTCATCCCAGTCACACTGCATCAAAACCACAACCAGAGTCCAGAGAGAGTCCAATAATTTCCAAACATTATAGACAGCATAGCACAGGAGTGATGCTGGCAGCCTTGGGGAATAAGAGGGTAGAGAGCTCTTCACAACCCCACACTAAATCCACATATGAAGGAGTAGGGTCATGCATAAGATCCATTTACTCCACGTCAGGGGCCACACCATGCAATGGGCTGGGAGCACAGCCAGAATATACCTCTGTTACCTCTGGGGCCTCTTCTTCTTCCTAAGGATGGGGATATCAGGGGTTTTGAGCATTTCAATGTCAAAGAGGGAACAATGGCAAGAGATACAACAGGCTATATTTGAGATAAGTGAAACGGCATGTCACTAAGGAGACTACAAGAGGGAGGAAAGCCCTTTGTTACTTAATGTTCCCATTATTATTATTACCATAAGTATACCAAATGACTGTTGTGTCTGTCATGCTGCACACCATCAGTTATCCGTACCACAGAGACCACAACCCAAGCAGCAGCACAGACAGAAATAGAGAGATAGAGAGATACAGAGAGAGGGTGTTTCCAATCTAAGATCCACAGAAGATGTCACAAATTACAACAAGAGGAAACTATCTCAACTTCACTGACTGCCTCTTCTTGCTCCTGCAATGAAGGTATAGGAGGGGGTGGAGGAGGTGGAGGAGAGCAAGAGAGGGGAGGACGAAGAGAGCAGAGAGGGAGAGAGAGAGCAAAGGCAGTGAAGCTTGTGTGGAAAAGGAGGGAGGGCAGGCAGTGGCAGTTTGGAATGTTGGAGAGGCTCTCTCTGTGTGTGTGTGTGTGTGTGTGTGTGTGTGTGTGTGTGTGTGTGTGTGTGTGTGAGAGAGAGAGTGAGTGAGGAATATTCTAAAATCAGTATGAATGACAGTGCTGGGTTTCTCTATCATGGTCTGTGTTCTGATGGCTACCAGAGTTACCATGTTGCTCATCCAACGATTGAGATATCATTATCTGGCATGAGTGAGAGGGATAAAGACATATAGTAAGGGCTACAGTCTGTTCAGATGCCATAGGTGAGATAGGGTCTGTTTAATCTACATAGAAAGTAGTGAAGGAGGAAATTGAAGGAATGCTGAATAAACAGCAAGATGTGGAAGCAAGAAAAGCAGCATTGATAGAATGGTGGAGAGGTAGAGGGGGGACGAATGTAGTTGGAAAAAAAAAAAAACACATCAATCTACCTCAAGCTGTCGCAGCTCTTCTTCCTCCTAGAAAGGATGAGATTAAGTGTCAGTGGTGTGGATGGAGGTCAGAGGTGACACCAGAGGCATGCGCTATAGGAAAAGTCTGTTTAAAAAAAATGGAATCTACAGGGATAGATCAGGCTGGAAGGAAGGAAGCAGCTACAGGACTAGGGAAGAAATGAGGAAGAGGAAAGCTAAAAGAGAGGGGAGACAGACAGACAAGAGGTTCGGAGGGAGTGAACACGGGCTACTGATGAGGGAACAAACAGCAGACAGATCACACAAGGCAAGCTCTTCCGTCCTACAACACAAAGCCTTCTGATCTCCGCCAGACAAACCCACACAGCTGGTAACTAGGGGAACAACCAGATAAATTGACAGTCGCAGATGCCCAGTTACCTCCGACCCCAAATCCTCTTCTCCCTGGAAAACCAAACCAAGAGATGGGGAAAAGGGCAAAGGGGGGAGGGGTCAATGTGTGGAGGAGGTACAAGGAGTTTCTGGAGGAGGAGACCCTCTTGCAGATAGCTTTACATGCATGATTCAACATGAACCAAGCTGGAGCCCTAAAATATTTAGTTAAACTTAATTATCTTTCTGTGACTTTGTTGGATTTATTTAGACATACGATCCTTGTTACTGTATCTGTATTACTGTATTAACTATTATACAAGATCTCTTTAAATGTAGACACTAAACAGAGTAGCAGCTAAAGGAGCATGACATATTTCTAAATAAAATCATCAAACAATCTTATCAAATGACAAATATGAATGTTATTGACCTGGGTATCTAATGATTATATCTCTAAGGTGGCATGTCATAGAAAAGATCAGTAGTGTTCAAAACTGTGTCAAGGATTAAGATGAAATGCATCCAAACATACAGCAATCTCTCCACAGGAGGCCTCTGGAAAATGGGAAGGGGGCAAAAACAACAAAAGTGGATCTGGAGTTGCAAATCATGGGACTACGAAGGAAGACGGATTTCAAGCATTCAATATTGCACAAGAAAAGCTACAACAAAGAAGAATGTGAGGTTAGTTGTCTGGATGTCAGACACAGATCACAATCACAAGGATGCAAACAAACTACATTAAAACTGAACACCCAAGGCCCTTAGCACAGAAATTGAGACTACAATATATAATGAATTTGATTTAAGGACTGAACATTATAGCTATAGAACATTCAAAGTAGATCTACCTCAGAAACCTGCTGATCGTCTTCTCCCTAAAACAACAAATAGCAATGATTAGCTTTGGATCAACTCGCTAGCTTTCACCAGGTTACTGTAACCAGGAAATATAGATTTTAACAAATTGATGTCACGCCCTGGCTCTGGGGACTCTTTTATGTTGAGCCAGGGTGTGTAGGTTCTATGTTATAGTTTTCTATGTTTTGTTCTAGATCATTTATATCTATGTTGGCCAGGGTGGTTCCCAATCAGAGGCAGCTGATTCTCGTTGTCTCTGATTGGGAACCATACTTAGGCAGCCTGTTGGCACTAGTTATTTGTGGGATCTTGTTCCGGAGAGGTTTGTGTTTGTTAACCTTAGGACTTCACGTATCGTTTTGTTGTAGTGTCATTAAGTACTCATTAAAAGATGTACGCATATCACGCTGCGCCTTGGTCCGTTGCTTACGACGATCGTGACAGAAGATCCCACCAAAGGAGGACCAAGCAGCGTGTCCAGGAACAGACAGCCTGGACTTGGGAGGAGATCCTGGACGGGAAGGGATCCTGGACTTGGGAAGAGATCCAGGCCGGAATGGATCGCCGTCCTTGGGAGGAGACTGTGGAGGCGCGCTACAGAGAGGAGCAGCGGCAACGCAGTGGGTACCGGCCGAGGAGGAAGCCCGAGAGACAGCCCCAAGAAAATGTTGGGGGGGGGCTAAAAGGGCAGGCTCCGTGTTATGCGGAGCCACGTACTGTGCCGCGAGTGTTCCGGCACAGTCCTGTACGTCCTGTGCTAGCACCACGCACGTGTCGTGCTAAGCTGGGCATGCAGCCAGGACGGAGAATGCCGGCTCAACGCTCGTGGCCTCCAGTACCCCTCCTCCGTCCCGTATATCCTGCGCCAGTGCCACGTGCTGTAGCGCCAGTACGAGTGCACAGCCCTGTACGTCCTGTGCTGATGCCTCACACATATTGTGTGGAAGTAGGCATTCAGCCAGGACGGGTTGTGTCAGCTCTCCGCTCCAGACCTCCAGTCCGCCTCCACAGTCCGGCCCGGCCCGTTCCGGCTCCCCGCACCAAGCCTATGGTGCGTGTTCCCAGCCCGGCCCGTTCCGGCTCCCCGCACCAAGCCTATGGTGCGTGTTCCCAGTCCAGCCCGGCCTGTTCCTGCTCCCCGCACCAAGCCAATGATGCGTGTTCCCAGCCCGGTCCGGCCTGTTCCTGCTCCCCGCACTAAGCCTGTGGTGCGCGTCGCCAGCCGGTCCGGCCTGTTCCGCTCCCCGCACCAAGCCAGTGGTGCGGGTCAGCCGGTCACGGCCCGTTCCTGCTCCCCGCACCAAGCCAGTGGGGTGCCGCGTCGTCAGCCCGGTCCGGCCCGTTCCTGCTCCCCGCACCAAGCCAGTGGTGCGCGTCGCCAGCCCGGTCCGGCCTGTTCCTGCTCCCCGCACCAAGCCAGTAGTGCGCGTCGTCAGCCCGGTCCGGCCCGTTCCTGCTCCCCGCACCAAGCCAGTGGTGCGCGTCGTCCAGCCCGGTCCGGCCTGTTCCTGCTCCCCGCACCAAAGCCAGTGGTGCGCGTCGTCAGCCCGGTCCGGCCCTGTTCCTGCTCCCCGCACCAAGCCAGTGGTGCGCGTCGTCAGCCCGGTCCGGCCCGTTCCTGCTCCCCGCACCAAGCCAGTGGTGCGCGTCGTCAGCCCGGTCCGGCCCTGTTCCTGCTCCCCGCAACCAAGCCAGTGGTGCGCGTCGCCAGCCCGGTCCGGCCTGTTCCTGCTCCCCGCACCAAGCCAGTGGTGCGCGTCGTCAGCCCGGTCCGGCCTGTTCCTGCTCCCCGCCCAAGCCAGTGGTGCGCGTCGCCAGCCCGGTCCGGCCTGTTCCTGCTCCCCGCCACCAAGCCAGTAGTGCGCGTCGTCAGCCCGGTCCGGCCCGTTCCTGCCTCCCCGCACCAAGCCAGTGGTGCGCGTCGCCAGCCCGGTCCGGCCTGTTCCTGCTCCCCGCACCAAGCCAGTAGTGTGCGTCGTCAGCCCGGTCCGGCCCGTTCCTGCTCCCCGCACCAAGCCAGTGGTGCACGTCACCAGCCCGGTCCGGCCTGTTCCTGCTCCCCGCACCAAGCCAGTAGTGCGCGTCGTCAGCCCGGTCCGGCCCGTTCCTGCTCCCCGCACCAAGCCAGTGGTGCGCGTCGTCAGCCCGGTCCGGCCCGTTCCTGCTCCCCGCACCAAGCCAGTGGTGCGCGTCGCCAGCCCGGTCCGGCCTGTTCCTGCTCCCCGCACCAAGCCAGTGGTGCGCGTCGTCAGCCTTGTCCGGCCCGTTCCTGCTCCCCGCACCAAGCCAGTGGTGCACGTCGTCAGCCCGGTCCGGCCCGTTCCTGCTCCCCGCACCAAGCCAGTGGTGCACGTCGTCAGTCCGGCACGGCCCGTGCCTGGTTCGGCACCGGTCAGCTGCTCCACTCCGGAGCCAGAGCAATCCGCTCCACCGGTGTCCAGTCCAGCTCCGGCCAGCGGGGCCAGACCAGACCAGGGGCGCTACGGGGGGGTAGAAAGAGAGTGGTGGTCACGCCCGGAGCCGGATCCGCCTCCGAGGCGGAATGCCCACCCGGCCCGTCCCCTGTTGGTTTTGGTTGGCGCGGTCGCAGTCCGCGCCTTTGGGGGGGGGGGGGTACTGTCACGCCCTGGCTCTGGGGACTCTTTTATGTTGAGCCAGGGTGTGTAGGTTCTATGTTATAGTTTTCTATGTTTTGTTCTAGATCATTTATATCTATGTTGGCCAGGGTGGTTCCCAATCAGAGGCAGCTGATTCTCGTTGTCTCTGATTGGGAACCATACTTAGGCAGCCTGTTGGCACTAGTTATTTGTGGGATCTTGTTCCGGAGAAGTTTGTGTTTGTTAACCTTAGGACTTCACGTATCGTTTTGTTGTAGTGTCATTAAGTACTCATTAAAAGATGTACGCATATCACGCTGCGCCTTGGTCCGTTGCTTACGACGATCGTGACAATTGATTATTACTACAATACAATAACATCACAAGTGCTTTGATATCTATTGACACATTGCACATAAATACTGATGGATATATTCAGTTGAACTTGTTCAACAGCATATAACTTTATATCTTATCAATAACAAGTTTATAATGGTTTACTCTGTAGTGAACAACAGTGCCCTGGGTAACACTAACACGTCTCGGTTTACTCTGCGTCTGTTTGTTTGTGCCACAGCACATTGTATTCAATACCAGCACTGGCTTCTGAGGCACTTCTGAGCCCAACAGAACACAACAGTGGTATGAGACATTAAAACAATGTGATATTTGACCTTTTCTGATCAGTCAGGCTTTTGCCTTCATATAACCTTTACCATTCTCAATACAGCTTTCAAGTCACAATAAAAGTATTTATTAATGAATTAAGCTGCTGGTGAGTTGGGAAACTTTGCAAGTGTATATAGATAGCATGTTATTAAGCATGTATGATGTAATCATGTTTTGTTACAATGGCTAGCAGACATAGCTGGGCCTGGGCATTGGCAGAGAAACTTCATAGTACTGATTTATAAATCAGTGACTATGGCCAGGAATACTTAGACCTAACATACGTATTTCCCTTTTAGACCTACATGTATATGCTTTGTTTAGAATAGTTGAATGACTAAAATATCTACAAGTTAATAATTTACTTAATTCTAGAATATTAGAGAGTCAAATAAAGGCACAATGTAGTATGGAACCATGTGCCAGGTCTATTGGATCCAGGCTAAGGGCTTTCTTAGTGGGGCAGATGGCACAATGCAGAGACCAGTGGCAGTTATTATTAATGACAATGCCCTTCATATCAGGCATTACTCCGGTGGACACAGTGTCGCCTGTTACCTTAGCCTCCTCATCCTCTAGTTCTTCCTGTTTAGGATAAGAGAGAAAAACTGTGAGACTGAGACATGACTCCCACATTTCTATTTGATTTCAATACTTTTCAGAAATGTAAAAACACTTTACCTGGGCTTCTTCCTCCTTCACGGGGGCCTTTGACAGAAAGGGGAGAAAATAGAAAATATTGTGTATCAGTATCTTTACAATGACAGCATTACCTCAAGGAGGCTAACAGAGAACCTCTCCTCAAAAATGGATGAGACACTTCTACATTGGAGGTCGTGCAACTTGAACAGATCTCACAGATCAGGCACATTGAACAACAACATGTGGGGATTTCCAGAGGACCCACACCAACACATGCACACCTAGACATGGATGGACAGTGGAACTACACATACACACCTAGACATGGATGGACAGTGGAACTACACATACACACCTAGACATGGATGGACAGTGGAACTACACATACACACCTAGACATGGAGACACATACTACACATACACACCTAGACATTGTTGTGGAACAAAGGACATAGTACATATCAAGGAAAATCAAGACCAATGATTATGTAGTCATTGAGATGACACAAAGGCTGCAAATGGAGTCAATAAAAACTAAAAAACTAAACAGCATACAAAGAGATTACAGTTATCTGCTACAGAACAGAGAAGTGGTTAAACATCCAACCGATCTGAGGAACAAATAGAACAGTCAACAGAAACAGTTACAGAACAGTCAACGGAAACAGTTACAGAACAGTCAATAGAAACAGTTACAGAACAGTCAATAGAAACAGTTACAGAAGAGTCAATAGAAACAGTATACAGGTGGGTTAGTATGGTCCAGAGTTGAGAAGGAGACGAGGACAACAGGACCTTGAGGGAAACAAAACCCTGAGGTAGAGGAAAAGACAACATTAAAGAGATGGAGGAGAGGAGATGCCACGGGAGGACACAGCACGGGATTCTGGGAGCCAATTACAGTGTCTTCACTGGCTTCCTCTGTGTCTTCGACCGCCTCCTCCTCCTCTGCCACCTTCTCTTCTGCGGCGACGTCTTCTTCTGCAGCCTTTTCTGCTGCCTCCTCTCCTGTTTCTCCTCCCACCTCCTCTGTGTGTTCATCTCCATTGAACTCCTCCATCGGAACCTCTCTTTTCTAGAGTGAATCAACAATGTGCCATCAAGGGGGAAAAAACTATGTATTAGAATAGTAATGACACAGCAGCTGTCATGGGCACACAAACACCAGGAGGGGAGCAGCCCTAATGCTGGAGTCACATGTTCAAAGACATCACAGAGTAAGGCATCAGCATCAGCAGCTCCTCTGAGTAAAGGAAAATGCATGAATAAATGAAGGGAAATTACATATGGTTACAAGGTGATGAATAGCAGCATATTGGTGCTGTGGAGAGAAATGAGAGGTTTGCATTGGTGTATGGTGTAGCGAGGAAGACTGCATATTATCCCTCTGCCGGAAGCCAGCTAAATCAGTACAGTCAACAGTATCAATAAAATAACTGTCATTCCCACAACATTGCAGCTTAAATGGAAAATAAACCGGCCTGGTACTCTGGAGAACAACGAAAGCAGGGGGCGGCTGAACTCATTTCCCAGAAATACCCATGAAGCTGGTCCAGTAAAAATAACTCAATTTGCACTCTTCTCGAAACAGCACCCTCTAAAAGCCTGTGGGATTTATAAGAGGAAAATCACAGGTTCCACTGGGCAATATTTCTCTGCTGTCCCTGGCCACCTCCTTGAAAAAAAGATACAATTCATTTCTCTGTGATGCTCATGCACCAGGTCAATCTCTCCGGTTTGGCAGCATCCCAAAGTGAGCTGAGAAGTTTACGTTTGCCTAATGTACTTTTTTCTTAATATATCTCCATATAAACGTTCATATCACCATTTTTTACAACAGCATCAGCATGCTCTTCTGTAAGAACAGTCCTATTATACAAATTATTAATTTGAAAAAGAATGAACTGATTCCCAATCATCTGCTTTCTATTGAATAGAAATCATATATAATATCTAGAATGATTATAAATACTTTATATGCTTTGTAAAAACTACAGATAATGACACACTATTAAAGGGAGAAATGTACACATGTTAATTAATGAGAGATGGTTACACTGTTTTTAAACTCTAAATTGTTTTTAAACTCTAAATTGACACTCATCCATGCAATGAGAGGATTAGCAACATTACTGGTTACTTGGTAATCATCCATGGAAAATGTAACCAACAAGAGTTAACTGGGTAACTGGAAAATGAAACCAACAGGAGTTAACTGGAGAAATGGTTAAGATTACGCTGGATAGGAAGAAACCGGGGGAGAAATGGTAAAGGTGAGACAGGGACTGAGGGGATAAGAGAAAGGCATTACTAGTGAGTCATCATCAAGGTTCTCCTCCTCAACCTCCTCAGCTTCAAGGTTCTCTTCATCTTCAGCATCATCAGTTCCGTTCTCAATGGTCTCACTCTCAACAGTCCCATTTTCAAGGATAAATGCCTTTTCCGCCTCTTTCGCTTCCTGCACCAAGGACAATTGGCAGGTTGTTTAACACAGTTGCATCATCCTCAACTAGCTTAGCATACATGTCACATCGTATCCCTCTCACACAATTAACATCACTAACCCCTGCTTGCCCTACAAAGGAATATGATATACAGTGGGGGGAAAAAGTATTTAGTCAGCCACCAATTGTGCAAGTTCTCCCACTTAAAAAGATGAGAGAGGCCTGTAATTTTCATCATAGGTACACGTCAACTATGACAGACAGAATGAGAGAAAAAAATCCAGAAAATCACATTGTAGGATTTTTAATGAATTTATTTGCAAATTATGGTGGAAAATAAGTATTTGGTCAATAACAAAAGTTTCTCAATACTTTGTTATATACCCTTTGTTGGCAATGACACAGGTCAAACGTTTTCTGTAAGTCTTCACAAGGTTTTCACACACTGTTGCTGGTATTTTGGCCCATTCCTCCATGCAGATCTCCTCTAGAGCAGTGATGTTTTGGGGCTGTCGCTGGGCAACATGGACTTTCAACTCCCTCCAAAGATTTTCTATGGGGTTGAGATCTGGAGACTGGCTAGGCCCCTCCAGGACCTTGAAATGCTTCTTACGAAGCCACTCCTTCGTTGCCCGGGAGGTGTGTTTGGGATCATTGTCATGCTGAAAGACCCAGCCACGTTTCATCTTCAATGCCCTTGCTGATGGAAGGAGGTTTTCACTCAAAATCTCACGATACATGGCCCCATTCATTCTTTCCTTTACACGGATCAGTCGTCCTGGTCCCTTTGCAGAAAAACAGCCCCAAAGCATGATGTTTCCACCCCCATGCTTCACAGTAGGTATGGTGTTCTTTGGATTCAACTCAGCGTTCTTTGTCCTCCAAACACGACGAGTTGAGTTTTTACCAAAAAGTTATATTTTGGTTTCATCTGACCATATGACATTCTCCCAATCCTCTTCTGGATCATCCAAATGCACTCTAGCAAACTTCAAACGGGCCTGGACATGTACTGGCTTAAGCAGGGGGACACGTCTGGCACTGCAGGATTTGAGTCCCTGGCGGCGTAGTGTGTTACTAATGGTAGGTTTTGTTACTTTGGTCCCAGCTCTCTGCAGGTCATTCACTAGGTCCCCCCGTGTGGTTCTGGGATTTTTGCTCACCGTTCTTGTGATCATTTTGACCCCACGGGGTGAGATCTTGCGTGGAGCCCCAGATCGAGGGAGATTATCAGTGGTCTTGTATGTCTTCCATTTCCTAATAATTGCTCCCACAGTTGATTTCTTCAAACCAAGCTGCTTACCTATTGCAGATTCAGTCTTCCCAGCCTGGTGCAGGTCTACAATTGTGTTTCTGGTGTCCTTTGACAGCTCTTTGGTCTTGGCCATAGTGGAGTTTGGAGTGTGACTGTTTGAGGTTGTGGACAGGTGTCTTTTATACTGATAACAAGTTCAAACAGGTGCCATTAATACAGGTAACGAGTGGAGGACAGAGGAGCCTCTTAAAGAAGAAGTTACAGGTCTGTGAGAGCCAGAAATCTTGCTTGTTTGTAGGTGACCAAATACTTATTTTCCACCATAATTTGCAAATAAATTCATAAAAAATCCTACAATGTGATTTTCTGGAGAAAAAAAATCTCAATTTGTCTGTCATAGTTGACGTGTACCTATGATGAAAATTACAGGCCTCTCTCATCTTTTTAAGTGGGAGAACTTGCACAATTGGTGGCTGACTAAATCGTTTTTTTCCCCCACTGTATGGAGTGCACTTAGCCATGTCTGAGCAAAAACAAACTAGCATTTCAGCTAAATAAACATTAAAACAGCCTGACATGGAAGTAAACCATTTATTTGCATTATAAAATCCATTGAGTGGAAAAAAGGGTTGTGTGGTTGTAATCTAAAGCTCAAAAGCTATATAAACATCATTTTCATTTTAGAAAAGTAAGTGAAAGTTGAATTCCAACCTTGGATCCTGGAGGAGGTGGCAGACCCAGGAAGGCATATACCGCATTGTCTTCTTTGGCGTCAAAGAATGTCTCGTAGTCCTGTGGTAAAAGACAAATGAGACACTCCAATCGTTCTCTCAGCATTTTAATGGAAATGTTCCCCCTCTACCTGGCCTATTAGTTACCACACCTTCTACATTATCTTGTTTTGCTCACCCCACAGTAGCTCTCTTCGTTGAAGATCTGAGGGGGTAGGGGGATCCCGTTGGTGGGCTTTTTCTCCACAGGGACATTTTCCCTCATCCACATGCGGTTGTCCTCATTGCAGGCAATGTCCAATGGAGCGTAGTCCACTTTCAGGGCCTCCAGGAATCCAAGCACATCCTGTTGCTTCTTTTTGATCTGGGCCATCACACAGGTGTACAGACAGACAACAAACACAGTATAGATATTGCATTCGGAAAGTATTCAGACCCCTTTACTTTTTCCACATTTTGTAACGTTACAGCCTTATTCTAAAATTGATTAAATAGTATGGAAAAAAAATCTAAATAAAAATGTATGCACTCACTAACTAAGTCGCTCTGGATAAGAGCGTCTGCTAAATGACAAAAATGTAAATGTATTTTTTTTTAATCCTCAATCTACATACAATACCCCATAATGACAAAGTGAAAACAGGTTTGCAGATATCGTCGCAAATTTATTTAAAAAAACTAAAACAGAAATACCTTATTTACATAAGTATTCAGACACTTTACTATGAGACTCGAAATTTAGCCCAGGTGCATCCGGTTTCCATTTATCATCCTTGAAATGTTTCTACAACTTGATTGGAGTCCACCTGTGATAAATTCAATTGATTGGACATGATTTGGAAAGGCACACACCTGTCTACATAAGGTCCCACAGTTAACAGTGCATGTCAGAGCAAAAACCAAGCCATGAGGTCAAAGGAATTATCCGTAGAGCTCCGAGACAGGATTGTGTCGAGACACAGATCTGCGGAAGGGTACCAAAAACATTCTGCAGCATTGAAGGCCCCCAAGAACACAGTGGCCTCCATCCTTCTTAAATGGAAGAAGTTTGGAACCATCAAGACTCTTCCTAGAGCTGGCCGCACGGCCAAACTGAGCAATCAGGGGAGAAGGGCCTTTGTCAGGGAGATGACCAAGAACCCAATAGTCACTCTGACAGAGCTCCAGAGTTCCTCTGTGGAGATGGGAGAACCTTCCAGAAGGACAACCATGTCTGCAGCACTCCGCCAATCAGGCCTTTACAGTAGAGTGGCCAGATGGAAGCCACATGACAGCCCGCTTGGAGTTTGCCAAAAGGCACCTAAAGGACTCAGACCATGAGAAACAAGATACTCTGGTCTGATGAAACCAAGATTGAACTATTTGGCCTGAATGCCAAGCGTCACGTCTGGAGGAAACCTGGCACCATCCCTACGGTGAAGCATGGTGGTGGCATTAGCATGCTGTGGGGATGTTTTTCTGCGGCAGGGACTGGGAGACTAGTCAGGATCGAGGGAAAGGTGAACGGAGCAAAGTACAGAGAGATCCTTGATGAAAACCTGCTCCAGAGTGCTCAGGACCTCAGACTGAGGCGAAGGTTCACCTTCCAACAGGACAATGACATTTACATTACATTTACATTTTAGTCATTTAGCAGACGCTCTTATCCAGAGCAACTTACAGTTACTGAATACATATTTTTTTATACTGGCCCCCCGTGGGAATCAAACCCACAACCCTGGTGTTGCAAACGCCATGCTCTATCAACTGAGCTACATCCCTGCCGGCCATTCCCTCCCCTACCCTGGACAACGCTGGGCCAATTGTGCGCCGCCCATGAGTCTCCCGGTCGCGGCCGGCTGCGACAGAGCCTGGATTCGAACCAGGATCTCTAGTGGCACAGTTTGCACTGCGATGCAGTGCCTTAGACCACTGCGCCACTCAGGAGCCCAATGACCCTAAGCACACAGCCAAGACAACGCAGGAGTGGCTTCGGGACAAGTCTCTGAATGTCCTTGTGTGGCCCAGCCAGAGCCCGGACTTGAACCCGATTTAACATCTCGAGAGAGACCTGAAAATAGCTGTGCAGTGACGCTCCCCATCCAACCTGACAGAGCTTGAGAGGATCTGCAGAGAAGAATGGGAGAAACTCCCCAAATACAGGTGTGCCAAGCTTGTAAAGTCATACCCAAGAAGACTCGAGGCTGTAATCGCTGCGAAATGTGCTTCCACAACGTACTGAGTAAAGGGTCTGAATACTTATGTAAATGTGATATTTCCAAAATTACTAAAAACCTGTTTATGCTTCGTCATTATGGGGTATCGTGTGTAGATTTAGAATAAGGCTGTAACATAACAAATTGTGGAAAAAGTCAAGGTGTCTGAATACTTTTCGAATGCACTGTGGGCTTCTTCTTTATGAGATCATGTTTGGCTGCTTTTTTCTATCATTAGGTTGGGGAGAGCAGAGTAGAAGACACTGATACATTAATGAATGCTTTTGACTTTATGTTTTATATTTTAATAATAATAATAATAATAATAATATGCCATGAATCAATTCACATATCATACATTTTCTTTGATCTTGTAGATTAGGTTTGAAGTAATCCAAATATATTCCAGAAAGTTCTGCAAGTGAATGCATGGTGGTTCATTTTCAACAGATTGCTTTTGCAGGTTTGGAATGTGATCTCAGCGACGGTCGAGATATATAAGGAAACTCGAGTAGTCTTAGTGCTCCTCAACTGAGAAGTTAGACGCAAATAACGGTACTAAAAGTTGACAAACCGCTAAATTGCCTAGGCCTATAATAACTTCAACCTATTTGAATCTGTTTGCCAGTCACATAAATGCATGTACTAAGAGCTGAACAATAGTCGTAGGAAACCGGCCAACAAAGTTAATTTTGCATTTAAAAACAAAGACTCGGGTAAATGCTTACCGCTGTCGATCCTGATGAAGAAGCTAGAAATACTTTTATAACCATTTTGTTACAACGTGTTCTGTAGAATGAGGTACTAACGTAGGTTATTAAAGATACAGGCTGCCTGCCCTAATAGTAGAGCGTACCCAGGACATTACTCTGCGAACACAAGCCACACTAATGAGGCTATTTTTGTCCCCAAACTCTCCATCACCGCAGGATTGGTGGGCCAGGTTTTAGGGGTGCAGCGCTGACCGAGTGATTGGCAACTTCAGCTGTCTGTCGGCATGGGGACCACAAAGTTAGTTTGCAGCTACATGCAAAGTGCATATATGGACAGAAATAGCCACTGACCAACAGAGCAACTAGTGAAAACAAAACCAAGAGTTAAAGCGGGCAGTTGAAATGTGTGCATATTGTTGGACCTAACAGTTTTTTGTTGTTGTAAATCTACAGTGTACATCTTTATTTGTTTAACTTATTATAGGCTAGTGTATCTTTTTGTTGTTGTAGTAAATCCCGAAAGACGATTTTTCTTTAAACAATTGCAAACGAAGTCTAATGTAATTGTTTTACTAGAAAACAATGAGTTTATATACAAATTAGGATGGTGTGGTCTTTAATCGTCCCAAAAACAGTCAGTTCTAAGAAATGTCCCATGATCAAGGAACGTAATATTCCTTGGCTATGACTTGTCCATAGAAATAATGTACACTTGTTTCTAGGGTAACCCAAAATACAATTTCTGAGACGGTCAGCCAACAACATAATCGGTCAATGACTGTCTCTTGCTATTGAAGATAAATAATAACTAAACTGAATGCAAGTGAGGGGGGGGGGGGGGGGGGGGAACATTTAGATATTTTCATAATAATAAGCCATTTTGCAGACGCTTTTATCCAAAGCGACTTACAGTCATGTGTGCATACATTTTTACGTATGGGTGGTCCCGGGGATCGAACCCACTACGCTGGTGTTACAAGCGCCATGCTCTACCAATTGAGCTACAGAGGACCACATAATGTAATTTAATGTAGGGATAGCATTGGCATGGGGAGTTATTAGGCTTGGTTGTTAGCTACGTAGAATAGTTGAAGTCAGGAAAGTGTATTTTTTTTTTTTTTATCAAGCCAAGGAATGTCTGTCACTCTCTGTCTTCTAGACCTAGCTGGATAACGTTAGATCTAGCTGGCTAAATGTATTAAACTATTAATGAATGTAAGTAGGCTATAGTTGAAAGTATAGATTACTTGGGTTCTTATCATTTCATATACAGTGTGGCTAAATTAACGACTAATTGGATATATGTCTGCTATATTACAGAAACTGGTGCGGGCTCATCTTTGGGGGAGACATGTCTCTGAGTCTGAGACACCACACCAGAGGCATAGTGCAGCAGGACGATGCTAACTATGAAGTGGGTGCAGAGGATGCAGACTCAAGCTGCTCCTCAGGCCAGTCCACCTCCTCCAGGTCAAGCAAGGGATACAGCAGTAGGACAGGCAGCAGCAAAGACTCTCAGGGGTCATGCACCCAGTCAGACTACAGGGAGGAGGCTGACACTACTGCAAATAGGACCCTTGCCCTCTCACCAAGCAAGTGTAGTCCATCATTGTAAATAAGAATTTGTTCTTAACTGACTTGCCTAGTTAAATAAAGGTTAAATAAAAAATATAAAAAAATAAGCCAGGTCTAAGCATGAAGACAGCGAAAGCACAAAGTATGTGATATCAATCTGATATTTCATATCTTCTCATTACTACAGACAGCCTACCTATAATGACATAAGTGTAGGCCTATAGGCCGAGATGGTTTGCAGCATATTCCCATGTAAGCATCACACTTAGGTGCCTTTTTCCTCTCAGCTCAAAACAAGGGAGGGCAGTGGTGCAAAAAGAAGAAAAACACTCATTCAAGGAACCGCAAGGCCCCTCTCTTCCCTCCAATCAATCCCCTGGAGGGACCAAACCAGCGCATCAGGTCTGCCAACAGGCACCGCATCAAGGAACTCAACAGCCAAGTGTGGGAGCTACAGCAGCAGCTGAGTGGTGTCGCCACAGAGAACAAGCTGCTGAAGCAGCTCCAGGGCCGCCACACGGTGGCGCTACAGCGCTTCCAGGACTCACAGAGTGGCCTTCCCCAGGTATGCTGCAGCAAAAAAATGTCTGGCTTGAATAATTGATCTATAACACAGCTATAACAAACTCATTATCAGCTAACAACAATAATCTGATCTTGCAGTATTGGCTAAGGTCATAATGTTTTGCACCCACCCACACCGTCAGGTTCTGGCCAAGCACGGCAACGAGGTGCATGCTCTGCAGGAGCTCCTGTGTAAAGCCCGCATCCGCCGCAACAGTCTGTCCAGGCGTCTGAGGGGCATGGAGGAGGAGCTGCTGCGCACTAAGGACGCTCTGCACCGGCTGCAGCTGCTCAGCGAGGACCACAGCATGGAAGAGAGGGAAGAGCTGAGCCACAGGCTGGCCCTGATCACTGTGGACCTAAACAGGAAGAACAAGAGAATACAAGTACAGTACATGCATTCACATGGCAGGGCTGACTCCATGTTCACAGGCCAGGTGGATGTCTGTATTGAAACTGATTGGGTTTTCAACTCTGTCCATCTGTATTGGTCTTCTACGGGGAGACCAATATACAGTGGGGGAAAAAAGTATTTAGTCAGCCACCAATTGCGCAAGTTCTCCCACTTAAAAAGATGAGAGAGGCCTGTAATTTTCATCATAGGTACACGTCAACTATGACAAATTGAGAGAAAAAATGCAGAAAATCACATTGTAGGATTTTTTATGAATTTATTTGCAAATTATGGGGGAAAATAAGTATTTAGTCACCTACAAACAAGCAAGATTTCTGGCTCTCACAGACCTGTAACTTCTTCTTTAAGAGGCTCCTCTGTCTTCCACTCGTTACCTGTATTAATGGCACCTGTTTGAACTTGTTATCAGTATAAAAGACACCTGTCCACAACCTCAAACAGTCACACTCCAAACTCCACTATGGCCAAGACCAAAGAGATGTCAAAGGACACCAGAAACAAAATTGTAGACCTGCACCAGGCTGGGAAGACTGAATCTGCAATAGGTAAGCAGCTTGGTTTGAAGAAATCAACTGTGGGAGCAATTATTAGGAAATGGAAGACATACAAGACCATTGATAGTCTCCCTCGATCTGGGGCTCCACGCAAGATCTCACCCCGTGGGGTCAAAATGATCACAAGAACGGTGAGCAAAAATCCCAGAACCACACAGGGGGACCTAGTGAATGACCTGCAGAGAGCTGGGACCAAAGTAACAAAGCCTACCATCAGTAACACACTACGCCGCCAGGGACTCAAATCCTGCAGTGCCAGACGTGTCCCCCTGCTTAAGCCAGTACTTTTTGGTTAAAAACTCAACTCGTCGTGTTTGGAGGACAAAGAATGCTGAGTTGCATCCAAAGAACACCATACCTACTGTGAAGCATGGGGGTGGAAACATCATGCTTTGGGGCTGTTTTTCTGCAAAGGGACCAGGACGACTGATCTGTGTAAAGGAAAGAATGAATGGGGCCATGTATCGTGAGATTTTGAGTAAAAACCTCCTTCCATCAGCAAGGGCATTGAAGATGAAACGTGGCTGGGTCTTTCAGCATGACAATGATCCCAAACACACCGCCCGGGCAATGAAGGAGTGGCTTCGTAAGAAGCATTTCAAGGTCCTGGAGTGGCCTAGCCAGTCTCCAGATCTCAACCCCATAGAAAATCTTTGGAGGGAGTTGAAAGTCCGTGTTGCCCAGCGACAGCCTCAAAACATCACTGCTCTAGAGGAGATCTGCATGGAGGAATGGGCCAAAATACCAGCAACAGTGTGTGAAAACCTTGTGAAGACTTACAGAAAACGTTTGACCTGTGTCATTGCCAACAAAGGGTATATAACTATTGAGTATTGAGAAACTTTTGTTATTGACCAAATACTTATTTTCCACCATAATTTGCAAATAAATTCATAAAAAATCCTACAATGTGATTTTCTGGATTTTTTTTTCTCATTTTGTCTGTCATAGTTGACGTGTACCTATGATGAAAATTACAGGCCTCTCTCATCTTTTTAAGTGGGAGAACTTGCACAATTGGTGGCTGACTAAATACTTTTTTTCCCCACTGTAGGTGGACATGGTCAATACAGTTAGGGAAAGGGGGATTCCTAGTCAGTTGTACATTGGAATGCATTCTACTGAAATGTGTCTTCCGCATTTAACCCAACCCCTCTGAATCAGAGAGGTGCGGGGGGCTGCCTTAATCGACATCCACATCATCGGCGCCCAGGGAACAGTGGGTTAACTGCCTTGCTCAGTCATACAAAAGTTATACTTAAATCCAAACTGGTTCTCAAGCAAATTAGTAAGATTGTCTCACCCAATGTTCAAGAAAGGCCTTTTTCCCTTTATTCAGATTACAACCTCTCACTTTCAGTTATTTGAAAAGGAAATAATCTCCCAAATGTCACTATTTCTAAAACAAGCCATAGAAAGTTGGTTGCAATTTCAATTTAATCCTCCAGAAACGACAGAACAAATAATGCAACAAATATTGTGGTTAAATTCAAATATACTAATTGACAAAAAACCTTTATTTTTTGACAGAATGTTTAAAAAAGGTATAATCTTCGTAAATGATATCATCGGTAGGACTGGTGGAGTTATGACGCACATGCAGCTAACAAAAACATATGGAAATGTCTGCTCTACCCAAAATTACAACCAAATAATTGCAGCCTTACCGCAAAAGTGGAAGAGGAAAGTGGAAGGGGGAGAAAGTAAGGAACTTGTCTGTCGGCCTTACATTAAAGAACATAATTGGTTAAGGAAAACTGTGATAAATAAAAAAGTATATCAGTTTCACTTAAGGACCAAAGGATTGACAGCCGTCCCATATAGATTGCAAAATAGTTGGGAAGAGATCTTTGACGTACCGATCCCATGGCATAGTGTTTATGAACTGACACGCAAAACGACACCGGATTCAAAAATTAGAATCTTTCAATTTAAATTATTATATAAAATTCTTGCTACCAATAGAATGTTATTTATATGGGGGATACAATCTTCCCAGCTCTGCAGATTTTGCTGTGAAGAGACAGAATCATTAGATCATTTGTTTTGGTTCTGTCCATTTGTAGCTTGTTTTTGGACACAGGTCCAGGAATGGCTAAAGGATTGCAATATTTACCTGGAACTAACCTTGCAGATAGCATTACTGGGTGATCTGAAAAGTCATAGTCAATCAATCAATAATATAATAATACTTTTAGCAAAAATGTTTATTTTTAATTCACAATCTGTAGAAGCAATGAGAATAGAAAGGTTCAGAACTTTTGTAAAACATCACAGTACGGTTGAAATATATATGGCAAATAGAAATCCTATATGGATGGGGTTAAGAGATAGATGGGAGGTATTGAATAGAGTTGAAGGATGGGACTAATAACAAATAACAACAAATAATAACAAAGATAGCTAATAATGTAAGCATACTGTGTCCATAATAAGTATATAGGTTGTATGTTGGGAGCTTTTGGGAAAGAGCACAGTTAGAAAGATATGGCATATAGAAGCAAACCGGATGGACATCATGAAAATGATCGGAGAGGTTGAGAGTAGAAGAAGTTCAGGAGCAAAATATATATATATATATATATATATATATATATATATATATATATATAATAGAATTATTGTAAAATTAACTCTGTCCATAAGGTGTAGATAGTAAGTATAGACCGGAAGTAGAGGCCTGGGCATTGTTGTTCACTAATTTACTCCAAGTAGGGAATGGATGGTGGGGTTGAAAAGTAATAAAGGGGAGTATATATATAAAAATATAAAAATAAAAATAAAAACATGGGGGTTTGGAAGTGATGCAGACAATTACATTGATAGAAGATACAATCTATCTGCAATATTAAGCTGATCCATTCCCCCTAAAAAAAGAAAAAAAGAAAAAAAGAAAAATAAATGAAAAGAAAAAATATAAAGAAAAAAAAATGCCTTGCTCACGGGCAGAACGGCAGATTTTTACCTTGTCAGCTCGGGGATTCGATCCAGCAACCTTTCGGTTACTGGCCCAACGCTCCTACCCGTGAAACGTAAATAAATTGTGTGTTGCAGGACTTGGAAAGGAATCTTGAGCTGAGCCAGATATCCTTTAATCGCCATCTTTCCACAGAAACAAGGAAGACCAATGAGGCCAGAGAGCTGTCCGATTACCTCCAGGCACAGATCAGTCTGTTGACCAAAAAAATCAAAGTAAGTTTATAAGGACTTGAGAGCAGCAACATACACAGAGTGTAAAAAAACATTAGGAACACCATGACAGGTAAGTCTGTCATGGAAAGAGCAGGTGTTCATAATGTTTTGTACAATCTTAGTAGATGTGGAGCAGTACTGTTGTTTGAAACAGTGGTAATGTCATTTAACTCGCAGTACTGCAATGTAAACACAAGAGGGAGTCTAATACAGCTGTATTTCTGAAGGCATAATTGAAGGTTGAAGCGAAATACCAATTTTCCCGCTTGTAAACTTGCCTGGCTACCCAAACGCTACACGCAGTTAGTTTCTTCTCCGCAATGTCTGGATCTGAGTACCTCCCCGTTGATTTCTATAATGCAAACACATTCTAACCATTCTGATTGGTTAAAGAAACCAATGGGTTGGGCCAGAGCCAGAACACACATGGGTAAAACTGCGTTTAGAAAATTAGTCATTGGCTTTGATATTCTAATTGGTTAGAGATGATCCAATCGCTGATTACTTTGTTTTGTACAACACCCCTCATTTTGACGTCCCCACAAACTACTTAAACGATGGCAGTCTCAGACTGAAGTATTTGGCGAACATAAGAGCAGCGGGCAAATTCAGTTTGAGTCGTCAGGCAACTTGTAAACCTGGCTGGTAACAGATATCAGGATGATAACACTACATTTGAGAAATTAACATTTATTGTACATATTGCATTCTTGAGAAATGGCTTACTGACGCATTTAACACAAAATATAGGAAAGAGAGAGATAATTGGAGATCCACAATATCTACTCACATAGATTTCCAAAAGGCTGGAACGGAAAAGGTACAAAGATATGAGCTACTTTTACTTTTAACATGTTCAACCCATGATCAAGATCAGACTTTGTTTTTACTTGAGGCTGAATATCTTTTGCCATTTACAGGAGCAAGACAAACTAAATCTGTTCAAACAGATGATTTATCCTCTCTCCCCATCGAGGCTCCATGCCAACTTGAATTAGAATATGCCAGTTCACTTGAGCATCTGGAGAAGCAGAAGAGTTTGAGCTGGGTATGTAAATGATTTCGTTCTCGCTAACATTCTGTGCAGAAAGCTGTATAAAATAGATAATGGTAAATAAAACATTCATTCAATATTGACAGATAAAAGCAAAGATTAACTACTTGATAAAAGTGTGTGTAGTGAATTCCTGTGTAAAGTTGATATCTTATTTATTTTTTTCAGGAGTCCTTTGCCATCGACTTCACAGACAGAAGTGACGCAGCAGACACGTCAGTGGATGACAGAGGATCAAACGATAATGAAGATTTTGCTGGTAAGGATTTTTTTTTACTTTACTACAGCCTATTGGGACTACCAATGAACAGATGCAAAGCTAAGGGGATATTGAGAAAATAAATGGTTAAATTACATTCTGAAGTGTCAGGTATGTACTCTCCAGTCACAGAGTATATGCAAACAAGACAGCAAACACAAAAAACTCCCAAACATTGGGACTAATTAAAGCTCACTTGTCATACTAAGTAACAGGACTGAAATAACCTTTCCTGTGTCATGTTATATCCCCAAAAAAGCCTAGGGAATGACGGCAAGCAACTATCATATTTATCCACAGAGGATGGAGAGCTGGATGGTGATTCTGAGGAGGATCCACAGCTTCAGGATGAGGAGGATTGCCTTGCAGAGGAGGCAGCGAGTTCCCTGAAGGCTTCAGAAGGAGAGCAAACAGAGCCATTTGAAAGCCAGGTCCGGTACACTCTGGAGGACATTCTGAATATAGAACGTGCCAACAAGGCCCTCGAGTCCGCTCCCAGGACCATCCAGAACCTACACAGTGGGAAGCCTGCCTATACAAGCCATACCCAAAGCCTGAGAAAGAGCCCTCCTAGATACATCAAGGGCCAGGCCAGGGTGGAGAACCAGGGGTCTGGGGCGTATGAGCCTTCCTTTGTCACTCTACCAGCAGAGAAGTGCCAAAGGCGTGACACCACGGGCCCTCAACCGGAGGATGGTGTAGTCCGCAGCAAGAAGAGCAGCTTGATGAAAGAGCTTTTTGGCCAGGCCCCAATCACTGATCCAATGGCCATGCAGACAGGCAGATCCAGAGTTCAAGGCACAGACATGGACAGAATGTCATCTTACCATACAGGAGACGCTAGCCCGGTCTCACCTGGGAGAGAGCCCAATATCATTTTTGATTGACCCAAGAAGAATACAAAATGATAATCTATTTTCATAATTTGATTATTTATTTTAATACATATTTTATCTGCCATGGCAACTCAACACATTACTAAATGGAGTATTTGTATGCATGATATTTATAGCCAGTTATATACCTGGAAAGTATTCTTCAACTATTTGTTACTGAAGTAATAATAAGCTCTCTGTTTGTGATTAGTGCGTCACAAACATTCTCTGACACTATTGCTCATGACAAATTCCTTAACACCCTTGAAATCAGATTGTAATGAAAGCAACATTCAATGATGACCATTCCTATGCCACAATGGTACACTTTGTTTTTGTAAAAGCCTCTCTAAAATACCCAAGATGCTAAGAACAACCAACACTTGAGGCCTTCAGTTTTCAAATTCTTTATTGTGTTGAAGTATGCATATTTCTTATTCATACTTCAACACTTCCAAAATCCAAAACAGTAAACTTTGTGATATTAGTTCAGGTTTCATTCAGCAAATGAAAATGTGCTACAGACCATGCCTACAATTAACGTGAATAACAATGAACAAAATTACATAACAATATGAAACAATTGTAACACTTCTTGCTCAACTCATTTCAATAAGTTGGAATGAGATTTAAATAAATGGTCATTAAAACATGCTTATACAATTATTACGCAGAGTAGCAATTTGTGAAATACACTACATTGCCATACGTACGTGACAGTACAGGTGCATCAAAGCTGGGACCGAGAGACTGAAAAACAGCGTCTATCTCAAGGCCATCAGACTGTTAAACAGCCATCACTAGCACAGAGAGGCTGCTGCCTACGTACAGACTTGAAAATCACTGGCCACTTTAATAAATGGAACACTAGTCACTTTAATAATGCCACTTTAATAATGCTTACATATCTTGCATTACCCATCTCATATGTACATACTGTATTCTATACCATCTTAATAATGTTTACATATCTTGCATTACCCATCTCATATGTACAGTTGAAGTCGGAAGTTTACATACACCTTAGCCAAATACATTTTAAACTCAGTTTTTCACAATTCTTGACATTTAAACCTAGTAAAAATTCAAAATTCCCTGTCTTAGGTCAGTTAGGATCACCACTTTATTTTAAGAATGTGAAATGTCAGAATAATAGTTGAGAGGATAATTTATTTCAGCTTTAATTTCTTTCATCACATTCCCAGTGGGTCAGAAGTTTACATACTGTGGTGTTACGGATACAGGTATCCTGTGTTTTTGTGTGTTTCTACTCTTTCTGCCCTAATCACAGGTGTCCTGTATGTTCCTGATTGGTGGTCGTTGAGGTGTCTGCTGATTGGACCAATCAGTGAACATTCCTGTGAATTGCACCACCTGTTACGCGTTTGTTCAATCACACATCCCATTGTATAAAACACCAAACTTGTGTTTGTTGCAAGAGAGAGAGAGAGACTTTTTGCCATATGTGAGTATGGACACGGTGGTGTCCTTGTTTGTTTGTGTACGCCTTTTTTTGGGGGGTTGGTTTTTTTCCCCCTTTGGAACTTTTGTTTTTTTTTAAAAACCTGGGGAACTGTACCTTGTCTTTAAAAACGGATAACCCGTTTTTGGTATTTTGGTTTTCGGGAAAAGGGGGTTTTAACTATTGCCCTTGGGTCTTAACCCTAAAAAATCTGTTTTTAAAAAACCCATTAAGGACGGTTTTTCCCCCCGGGTTTTTTTGTTTGTCATACCTAGGGTTTTAAAAGAGGCTAGACCCATTTTAGGGGTTCACTTTTTTCACTTGGGGGGCCTGCTGTTTTTTTTCCCCCTTTTACCGGGGGGAAAAAAAATTTAAGTTCGGTTCCAGGGGTTGGGGTCAGGGGGGTTTTCCGGGGGGGCCAGTCCCATTTAAAATTTTTAAAAGGGGGGGGAGGGGCCAGCCACCATGGTTAAGCCACGGGTGGGAAAAGTGGGGTCGTGGGGATCCTTTCTACCCTTTTCTCTCGTTTTAAAAAAAAAGGGGAATGTTGTCAGGGACGGGGCAGCGGGCCCCCGGGTTTTTTTTGGGGGAGTTGTGGCTGTCAGTAGGGGGCTAGGTTGGGGCCCCTTTGAACCCCCCCGGGAGATTGAGAATTTGTCGGAGGGGAACGGGGCTTTGGCGCCCACTTTTCGGCCCCCAACCGAGGGGGTTTAGTGAAACAAAGTTAGGGAAGTGGGTTTAGCGTATTGTTAAACGGCGGTGCTTGAGTAAGCCGCCTGGCCCCTTGTTCCCCTTTGGGATGGGTTCTGTTTGTACCCTTGTCGAGGAACTAAGGTAAAGGGGGTTTTATGTTTTCTTCCCCCTGATGAGTGTGGGATGGCCCTTCACAGGCTCCAAATGGGGGGAAAGGGGGGAAAATGGCAACGGGGATGGAAAATGGATAAAGGCAACAGGGAAACCCCTAGTGAACAAAACCCCTGTAAATGGGAGGTGGCTTATAAGAACGAGCGGAGGTTTATCAAAATGAACGCTAAAGGATAATCGTTCTAGAAAAAAAAAAAGAGGTTAGTTTGTTAACGTTTTTTTTCAAGTTGTACTGTGTTTGATATTAAAAGGGGAGTCATTGGGGTTTTTTTTTGTGTTAGGGTCGAGGTTATTCCTATTTCATTTTTAACTATGTAGATTGTGGCCCAACGAGGGGCCCTTTTTTCGGCCCAACGGGGAAACCCGATTTTTTGGACCCCCCTCTTGAAACTTTTTGAATTATGAGGTGGAAAAGCACTGTTCTTCGTGCCTTGGCTTGTTCCGGGGAATCGACAGAGATTTAGGTCTCAAAAAAAGTCCCCTACCAAATTTATGTGGATTTTTGCTAGAGACAAAAAATCTTTTGACAAATGGACAGGCATAAGGAAACTGATTTTAATCCACGGGAGTTAATCTTGTAAAGAGTTTAAAAAATTGTTTACCAAACGCTTTGTAGTTTATTGAAACGAACAGAAAGTATCCTCACTTCGGAAGCGTCTTATTGGCAACGATTTGTGGCGCATAAGAGCGTTTTTCGGCTCTACGGGGGCCGGGTCGGGGTTCTAACTTTTAAACCAGTCACCAGCAGACATCCCACCCCAAAAGATGTGCTTCACTGTTTCTATTGCATAAGGGTTGGACATATTAAAGATTGCTTTCTCTAAAACGCAAACCGGGATTCCTCACACGCCAAGGCCCCCAACGGGGGTTGGGGTATTCGACGGTTGTAAGGCCCAATCAAAACGAAAACCTCAAGTGAATGTGGGTTTAAAATCCCCGGGCCCCAAACACATTGAAAACCCTTCATTTTTGAGGGGTTTTTTCTATATCATGATAAGGGTCTCAGCGTCCGTTTTGAATCCCAAATATGGTGCGGCGCGTCGTTTATATAGCTTTGGGGGGGGCCCTTTTCAAAAACAATTGGGCCATGGTTAGACAAGGAATTTAAAAGGGTTTCGCCCAGGGGCCCTTGCACTTTTTAACACCGAGTGTCAGGGGACAGAGGGGGGGGAGCCGGTGCCCGAAAAGGGGTAAACCTCATAAGGGCAACGATTTTGCCGAGGGGAAAAGGGATACCCCTATTTGGGGGTATTGGGTAAAAAATGCCCTCTCTCCAGGAGTGGCACAGGGTTACCAAAGTGTTCCCCCTTTGCTGTCAACTGCTAAGCCGACAAGGGGTGAAATGGAATTTTCCCGACCATTCTATTAGAGGTGGGCCCAAGGAAGTTGTGGCTACCTTGGTAAGGGGCAGCTGACCAACAGCCCAGAAAAGGAAAAGGAGGGGGAACTTGTTTTTGAAAAATCCCGTTATCGGAGAGCTGATCGCTAACCAACATTGACATTACCTGGCAAAAGTTTTTTAGTGTTGTCCAAGGGGGACAAAGAAAAAACATGGGATACTTCATGATGGTAATCTTCATGCGTAATGGACCTCCCATGTTCGCTGGGGGGAGATTTGGAAAGTGTTTTTCCAAAAAGTGATTTACACGCCTTTCGACAAAATGTTTTATCCCTCGTCATACACCAGTGGTCCGGCATCTGGGAGTCACCAAGACTTTGATCGTGTTTTGCGACATTTTTTTGGCCGGTAAAACAAGATGTGGCTCATTCTGTTTTGACTTGCCCCACCTTCAAGGTTGGGAAACCCCAACCAGGTTTTTTTCCCCCCCCGGCCCCTTTGTCCATACCGGGCCCAAGGGGAAAAACCTTCGAACATGGGGATGGTTTATTGTTTGGCCATTTCCAAAAAACAAAAAACTGGTAGCCCGTTTATTTTACAATTTGTTTTGGCCGCCCGGTACCCCGAGGCCCCTTCCTTGCGAAGGGGGGTTTGGTTGTGTTGGGGAAAAACTTTGCTCGTGTTTGAGATTAGGTTTTTTTTTTTCCCCATGGGGAATTTTATTTTGGGGTTTTATGGACTGTGCAAACCATTTGGTTTGCTCTTTTTAAGGGGGGAGTTTACGGGTACAGGATCCTGTGTTTTTTTTGGGGTTTCTACTCTTTCTGCCCAACACAGGGGTTTCCCGTAGTTCCGATTGGTGGCGTTTAGTGCTGCTGATTGGACCAATCATGAACATTTCCTGGAATTACCACCGTTTCGCGTTTGTTTAATCACACATCCTTGGGAAACACCAACTTTTGTTTGTTTTCAAGAGGAAAGACTTTTTGCCAAATTGGGTAGGACAGGGGTGTCCTGGGGTTTTTGGGTACCCTAAGTTTTTTGTTACCCTATTGGGGAAAATTATAGAATATTTTTTTACCTGATGGGATATGTTTTTATCCTGTACTTATATAAAATTGCGATTACCCTGTTTGGGGGCTTTGTGTGTTTTTTGGGAAAAGGGGAGTTTAAGCTAGTTTTCCCCGGGGGGTAATTCCCCCAGGAAGAAATTGCTATAAAAAACCAGTTTGACCTGAGCGGACCCCCCCTATTTTGTATGGGGGCATAGCCTAGCGGTTCTTTAGGCAGGGTCTTTTTTGGGGGGTTTTAACCTTTGTTTCATTTTTGGGGCCGTCAGCCCTTTTTCCCCAAAACCCTTTACCTGTGTTTCAATAAACCTTTAAGTTTGACGGTACCTGGTTTTGTGTCATTTTTGGTTTTTTCCCCTGTTCCAGGTCACACTTATAATTTTTAATTTAGTTTTCGGGTCCATGTCCCCCACCCTAGACGTTTGAGCCAGGGGTTTTGAACATTGGTCGGTAAAGTTTGCTAGTCATTGCTGTAAAAAAAAGGAGTCCGCTCATATGAACCTTGATTAAGTTTTATTCATACCCCAAGCTTTCGCATGATTAGGGGTCAAACCCGGAGGCAATGTCCCAGTTTAATGGCTCTCTAACCCTTCTGCCTCCAATATATTATAAAAACAAAAATATGGGGTTGCTCCCCTGCTGTCCAATCCCCTGTCTCCCCTGGGGCGCAAACCCACAATGGCTATTTTTAACTAAAAATAAAACCCCCCTTTGGTTTTCCTTAAGAAAGTTAAACTTAATACACTACATATCCCCCTTTGAGGACACAAAACCGAAAACAACAAAAGGATTATGACAAGTAACAATTTTTCTTATTTGGGTTCTTTAAAAAAAAAAAAAAAAACATTTTTTCTTAGAGTGTAAAAACCTTTCTATGAACAAACAAATGTTTTTTTAATTGAATCAAAATTTAAAAAATTTTTTTGGGGGAAATTTAAATGAAACACCCTCTGGGAAATTTTGGGGAGGTAAAGGAAAAAAAACGAAAAATGTTTT